GGAAGAGAGCCACGAGGAAAACAGAGAGAAGGAGCAAGTACTCTGCAGTGGGAAGGGAAAATTGAGCTCTGAGAAAGCTCTGCTCTGCACTCCTCCCGTCCTCTCTCTTTTAATTTGCTCCGGCACAAGCTCCGGCTCTTCCTCTCTCTCTCCGTCTATCTGCCAGCGTTGTTCGATTGTTCCGGGAAATTCTGACCATGCCTGGTGAGTGCCCTGTGTTCTGCTGCTTATCCCGTCACTCACACTGCATTGTGTGTGTTTAAGCTTTCAATGGTGTGTTTGTATGAGTGTGTGTATGGAAACATATTAGGGACAGAAAAGGAGAAGGGGTTTTATTGAGATCCCAGGGTTTATTCCAGCCTCCATCCTGTTATTTTGCGGTGCGCTGTCCTCTCTCTCAATTCAATTAATTTCAATTAGCTTTATTGGCATGACAACATATTATATTATTTGACAAATAAAACATCTAGGAACATAATTAAATGAGGAATTGAGGAAATTAGGGAATTAGATGCTCTAAGACTAGGTGTTACTGTAAAAACAGCGTAGTGTAGTGCACAATTGTATTCAACATGCACTGATCGGCAGTCAGCTCTTGTTATGGAATTACATACTCATAGATATGGAATAACATACTAATCTACTGTACTGTATATGAGTCACATGAACTAACACCTTCTCGCTGTCTGATAAGGATGTGAGCTCTTGGGGTTTGAATGAGAGCCAGTGTCAGTGCTGCTCTACCACAGAAATTGTGTGTGTGTGTGTGTGTGTGTGTGTGTGTGTGTGTGTGTGTGTGTGTGTGTGTGTGTGTGTGTGAGAGAGAGAGAGAGAGAGAGAGAGAGTCATCAGCCTCTCCAGCCCCGCTAACAGAAATCAGATGACTGGGCACCGCTCCCGCCGCCTGCTAGGAGGTCAGTGGCTGATTTGGGTTGCTGTTCTGGAACCATAGGCAGTATGAGGTCATTATCGTTGTCATGATGCCCCTTTTGACCCTTAGCAGGGGAACAGAGAGAGCGTTACGTATACCGCTGGAGAGGAGAGTGACCGCTAATTTCATTTACAGAGACACTGTCTCTTTCATTCAGGAGAGGAGACGAGGAGATGACAGGAAATACTACCGTTGCTGGTTGAGCTAACCCCCAATCTGTCTGTTCCCTCTCTCTCTCTGTCCCCAGTCTGTCTGTTACTAGATGATCAATACACCCAGTCTTTATGTTCGTTGTTTAGAGAGAGCAAGGTCTTTTTAATCTCTCAGAAATACCATATTAGAGTTATTGGATAGTGTAATCCAGATATGGTGATGTATATAAATCTATAGGATTATTATTACTCAGAATAATCATATTTTATGTTGATTCAATGTATTTGTTGTACTTTCATTTTGTTGTATTCTCTAATCTAGTTAGAATTTGATTATTTATGTGTCCTATTCCACATAAATCATTTGCATAATAGTGTTGCTGTTGATATTGTTGTTGCATCCAGTACTGTGTAATCTTTTCAGATATTGTACCAATGCACTGTTAATATACAGTGTTCATTGTAGGGAACTCACTAAGTTTTGATAGATTTTGTTTTTATTCAATAAAGATAAATCATTACCAGAGACGCACAGGAGAACGCTAACGTTAATTATCCCACAGTGTAACAAAAAAAGAGACAACACGGATAACGAATAATCATCAAACAACGGATCCTAAAGGCACATTCTAAAGGCAACATTGAACAATCATTCTTTGGTGTAGTGAGTGTCTGGGTAAATGTTAGCTTGGAGATATCTGTGTTCTGAATGTAGTGTAAGAGGACAGGATAGGAGGGGAGAGGAAAGAAAGGGAGAGCAGAGGGGTGAGGAGAAGAGAAGAGAGCTCGGCTGGTAGTGCTGTTTGTTTGTTGCCTGCTGTGTCTGTGTCTCATCATCATCATTGGCTGCCATACAGATTAAGCGGCAGCATAGTTTGATGCAGTGTTGTTTATCTCCAAACATACTGAACAAAAATATAAATGCAACATGCAACAATTTCAAATATTTTGCTGAGTTACCGTTCATATAAGGAAATCAGTCAATTGAAATAAATAAATTAGGCCCTAATCTATGGATTTCACATGACTGGGCAGGGGCGCAGCCGTGGGTGGGCCTGGGAGGGCATAGGCCCACCCACTTAGGAGCCCAGGCCCAGCCAATCAGAATTAGTTATTCCCCACAAAAGGGCTTTATTACATACAGAAATACTCCTTAGCACCTGCCCCCCACTCCCCTCAGACAATCCTGCAGGTGAAGAAGCCGGATGTGGAGGTCCTGGGCTGGCGTGGTTACACGTGGTCTGCGGTTGTGAGGCCGGTTGGGTGTCCTGCCAAATTCTCTAAAACGATGGTAGGGAAATTAACATTGAATTATCTGGCAACAGCTCTGGTGGACAATCCTGCAGTCATTATGACAATTGCATGCTCCCTCAAAACTTGAGACATCTATGGCATCTATGCACATTTTAGAGTGGCCTTTTATTGTCTCCAGCACACGGTGCACCTGTGTAATGATCATGCTGTTTAATCAGCTTCGTGATATGCCACACCTGTCAGGTGGATGGATTATCTTGACAAAGGCTAAAATGCTCACTAAATTTGAGAGAAATAGTATTTTTGTGTGTATGTAACATTTCTGGTATCTTTCATTTCAGCTCATGAAACATGGGACCAACAGCTTAACATGTTGCATTTATATTTTTGTTCAGTGTACATGTTACAGATATGTTTACACTGGACACTGACGGTAGCCTACAGAACTCTGTAGGTCAGTAGCCTACACATTAATCAAAGCCAGAAGGAGACGCTATACATCTTAACTGCTGGCATACTTTGTGTGTGTGTGTGTGTGTGTGTGCACACGCGTATGTGCGTGTGTTTCACAAGATTGTAGGTACATGTATATGAGTGTGAATGCATGTGCATGTGTGCGTTTGTTTACCAATGTAGAGAGACAGTGAGATCTCGCTAACCAACAGCCAAGTGAGAAAATGGGAGGGTGAAAGAAAGAGCCGTAAGTCATTTTCACAACCTTACACATACAGTGGCAGAATGTACAAGGGCGAGATGGTGTGAACATGGAGATTAGAGAGAGAGAGAGAGTCAAGGAGAGAAGAAAGCAATGAAAATGGATTGGAGATGAGAGAGATGAAAGGACAGAGTGCCATTGTGTATGTTTTGATGTACATTGTGTGCATTCTTAATAGTCTATCATTTTGAAATGATAGATTCACGAGAGAAGGAGGGAGAGACAGTGAGAACGGGGTGAGAGGAGGGCTGTTGATACTAATGATAACACATCTTTAATATGAAGTGAAAGAGGTATTCACTTTGATGTGAATGAATATGTTGCTTGAATTGTTTGTGAGAGAGAGAGAGAGAGAGAGAGAGAGAGAGAGAGAGAGAGAGAGAGAGAGAGAGAGAGAGAGAGAGAGAGAGAGAGAGAGAGAGAGAGAGAGAGAGAGAGAGAGAGAGATAGAGAGAGAGAGAGAGAGAGAGAGAGAGAGAGAGAGAGAGAGAGAGAGAGAGAGAGAGTGAGTGAGGCTCAGAGCAGGAGAAAAGCAGAACGATGGAGGAAGAGAGAGAGAGAAAATATCAAGTTAATGTTCTATACTCCCTCCCTCCCTCTCTTCCCCCCTCTCCCCTCTCCCTCCCTCCTCCCTCTCTCCTCCCCCCTCCATCCTTCCCGCTCTCTGTAATTAGGCTGTCATAGCCCATCTCTCTCATGTCCATTGATTTACTGAGAGCTGATGAAGCAGAGCGGATCCACAGTGCTTCGGCCAGATGGAGGAGGAAGGTCAGAGGGCTCCTCTAACCAGGCTGGGGGCACTCTGCTTGGGGTTAAAGGTCCACAGTCCTGGGGATAGGAGCAAGGACCTCCAGGGGCAGGGGTGGACAAGCAGGCAGACAGATAGACTGACAGACAGGCAGACAGACACATCAAACACACAAACACAGATGGAAAGGCACACACACACACACACAAAGATGAAGAGACAGACAGACACAAACAGACAGACAGACACCAACAGACAGGCTGGTTGTAGTATTAAACGGGACTAGCAGGCTAAGTGCTACAGTGGAGGATTTAGATGTGGAACGGGTGAAACTGAGGTTCAATCACAGCCTTGGGAGATTAAATATCTGATTTTTAAATGATGCAGTTTAATTATGAATCATTACCGAGGCTTTGCTCTCCCTTAGTCAGATAAAGAGTGCAAATCTTTCTCTTTCTTTCCCTCATCTCAACACAAAGTTACTTTTAAAGGTCATTGAATAACGAAGTCATGTTTCAATGAATGCGGAGGAGTACTCACATTCTTCCATGGAAAAGAGTGTGACGTGTGAAAGACAGGGTCTTTCATTTAATAACACATTTAGCATGTTCTCGCTGTCTCTCTTTCTTAAGATAAAAGAAAAACATGTGCTCTTGATGGAGCACAGCTGTGTCGTCAATAACCTCTCTCTCTCTGATGCCCAAAGGTCACAACACAGAGCGTCAATAGGAATGAGTGAATGTGGATGAAAGAATGTACCATCAGCCCTACAGATGCACACGCACGCACACATACACACATACTCGCTCCTTTTTAGAATGGATGTTACGTGTCTGTTGCTGTGTTTTATTTGACTGTAGGGCTCTACTGTAAGCTGCTTTGCAGAGAGAGGGAGATGGAGGGGGAGGGACAGAGGGAGGGACAGAGGGAGGGGTCTGATAATACAGTTGTCAAGGCAGGCCCTTAAATTGATTTGAGAGAGAGAGAGAGAGAGAGAGAGAGAGAGAAGAGAGAGAGAGAGAGAGAAGAGAGAGAGAGAGAGAGAGAGAGAGAGAGAGAGAGAGAGAGAGGATAGAGAATAGAGATATCGAGCTGTCTAGCTCTTCTCTGCTCTCATCTCTCGACTCTCTCTCTCTCTATACTCGCGAATAGAGCGACCCCCTGTGGCCTGAGGAGGTGGTTTCAGTTTATTTCTGATCAATGTCCTCTTTATTGCAGGGTGAATCTCCCTATAATTTCCAGTCTCTCGGTCCTCCTCCGCAATAATGTTCAGCGATATGAAATGTTTCTTGCCTTCCTTCTTAGTGTTGAATACTCATATTTCTGCTAGTTCCCTCTCTCTCCCTCTCCACACATACACGCGCACACACAGTCTTGTACAACTAACCTTGTGGGGACACACAATTCAGTTCTATTCAAAATTATATTTTCCTAACCCATAACCTTAACCCTAACCTTAACCTGAAAACCTAACCCTAAACCTAACCCTAGTTCCTAACCCTAACCCCAAAACTAACACTAGTTCCTAACCCTAACACTAATTCTAACCATAACCCTAAACCCCCTAGAAATAGCATTTGACCTTGTGGGGACCAACAAAATGTCCCCAGTTGGTCAAATTGTTGTTCGTTTACTATTCTTGTGGGGACATCTGGTCCACACAAGTATAGTTAAACACGTCCACACACACACACACACACACGCTCTATTTCTATCCATCTATCTCTGTCTCTCTCTTCTTCTCTCTCTCTCTCTCTCTCTCTCTCTCTCTCTCTCCCCCCCCTCGCTCTCTCACGTTCTCTCTCTCTCTCTCTCTCTCTCTCTGTCCCTCTATTTGCCTGTGGTGGAGGCCTGTGGAAGCTTAATTTGTTGTCTACAGCTTTTCTCCTCCTCCCTCCCTCCCTCTCTCTCTCCTCCCTCCATCCCCCTCTCCCTCCCTCTCTCTGTGTCAGTGCTGCAGTGTGGTGTTCTGTCTGTTAAACAGGTTAGCTGTTAGCAGGAGCCAGGGGGATAACATCTTAGAGATGGGGCTCCTAGGGGACTCCCAACAGGCGCTTAGCTCACTGACGTCCTCTCTTCTTACCTCCTGACCACTATTATGTCTGTCTGCCTCAACAAACTCCACCCTGACCCCCTCTAGTGTACACCGACTCTCTCACACACACACACATATACACACACAACCATGTACACACACACATCCATCTACACACACTCATCGCTGTGTACACACAGCGCTGCTCAGGCTAACATTCAGAAGACAGATATTTGTGTGCGTGCAATCGTGACTTGGATTCTATGAATGTTATTTATGGAAATAGGCAACAGAGTGTCTATTTAGACCCACTGTGTGTTTCTCTGTGAATAGCAAAGATACTGGCTGTGCCCGAATACCCATACCAAATCGAGCATACTTTAAATGCCCGGATGTCATAATAATTTTGGCTTTGACAACAGCTGATCGATTAGATATGGGGATGCGCTACCGAAATCAACAAATAGCGGGAAACAACGGAATGGCGCAATGCGCAATCTCAGTATGCAAAAATATAATGTTTTATAGTATGTGCATTTTTGAAAATCAAGTATGGTTTAAATGCCAGGATGTTATACTCATTTCAGCTCTTTATCTATTAGAATTCGATGCACACTTTTCCACAATGCATTGGAAGAGGTGGGCTGCGAGTGATAGGCCCTAGTTCTCTTCAAGTAGCCAAACAACAAAACTAGGCTACTTAATAGGGAAGATGCAGAATAGCGAAGCTTTTGCGGTGGTGTTCATATGTAGGCTAAGTAGTTTTTGTTCTCCTTAAAACGAGTATTGCATCATAGGCTACATCATCTTTTTTTTATACCCAAAGTGGATTTCTGTTTTCTCATTGAAAATAGTTTATTGTTCTCTTGTCCTTCGTCAGAGCTTTTAAACTAAATACTAAACCATCTTCTGATTTCTGAATGTGTCGGCACCAGGGATTCGGGATGTGGCTGCGTTATTGATGTCATGTTAATCAGGCCTTTTGATTTTAATGATGGATTGTTTAGTTTCGTAGGCTAGGCTACCTATTTCATTATTTAATTTATGGATCAAGCCGTAGCAGTCATTTTGATCTTGTTCCCAATGATCAGTTCTTTAGTTTCATTATGTTGCTGTCCAGTGGTTCTGAATTTGCAATACACCCGACTTTCCACATTTGTCTGTGCAATAGCCTTTTGATTTGAACTTGTGAAAAGTTTTGGTGTGTGTACTAGGCTATTTAATGTAATTGATATATGATACAGCACTTTAGTTTCACTAATAAATATGTTGAAATGGAACCAAATGATCTGTTTCTGTCTCCAGTCCTTTTAAAATAGGCTAGATGGGCTACATGGTCTACTACGATATAGGTTGAATGTGATAGTCCGCCTATAACCAGCCTGAGTAGTCCTAGAACTCCATTCCTATTCTATTCAGAGTTTAGAGAAATTAATCGAATTGGAAATGAGCTATTATCAGGCTGGTTAATGCAAAGCATGTCTGTTGAATTTGGAAAAATCCAGCGCACTCGGCCCCGCCCCACCTACTATGCCAATCAGGAGCCGTTACTGTGTTACTAAATAGTATGCGACGATGAGTACATAGTATGCATTGTATTTCCTGCAGTCAAATTACCTAGTGGCCTCATGGGTGGAAGTTATTAATATTTTTCATAATTTCATAATTAATCAACATTATTTAAAAGAAAACACAGAAAATCCGGTGTTACTATGTCAAACAGTTTTGCTATATTTCAATATTTTGTAATGTATGTAAAGTGTAATATTGGGATGCAAACTCAAAATGGAATACATTTCAACTCTATATCTGACATGGTACGGGTGTCTTCTTTTTTGTAAGCCCATAACCATGTGTGTGAGGTGTATACTTTTGTTTCAAAGTAGATTTAAGACTACAAAGAAACAATCTGTGTGACCCTAATTTAGCCCACTGCAGTAATTAAGTATGTAGTATGCTAGTATGGGTATTCGGACACGGCCACTGAGTTATGACATTTGTTCCGCCGTGGTCTGTCTTCCGCTACACTGGATACAAAATTACTTCAATATAGAGTAGTTCCCCAATGGCATTTTGCATTTTGATTGTAAACAGTCTGACAACACAATGTGAGTATATTATGAACAAAACCTAGAGAAATGAATAAATTCTACCAATGTATTGTTCTAGAGTCTAGGTCCTACTGTCACGATCGTCGTAATGATTGGACCAAGGCGCAGCGTGAAATGCGTACATCTTTTATTGAGTACTTACACACAGCAACAAAACAACAAAACGAAACGTGAAGTCCTCGGTCATAAACACAAACCTACACGGAACAAGATCCCACAAAAGACAAGTGCACAACAGGCTGCCTAAGTATGGTTCCCAATCAGAGACAACGAGCCACAGCTGTCTCTAATTGGGAACCACCCCGGCCAACATAGAAACACATAAACTAGAACAAGAACATAGAAAACGAAACATAGAACCTAACACCCAGAAACGAACACATAGAAACTAACACCCTGGCTCAACATATAAAAGTCCCCAGAGCCAGGGCGTGACACCTACACTTTACCTTGGCATTGTAGTTAGACTTTAACCAGCCCTGCCTGCTGTAAAATCCTGGCCTGGACAGTTTGTTTATGATTAGGAGCTACACCAATCTACTGCAGAGGAGTAAACATACCAAACTTCCTTCAGTTTCAGTTCTTCGAGGCAGATTAGAGTTTCTCTCTGTTTGCCTTATGTTGTAAGGACACTGTTTCGTAAGGTTTCCAGCGCCTTGGTTACACCTAAGCAACCTTTTATGTGTCCACTGTTGACACAGACTCTTCTTGTGAACCTTTTCTTACCCTTTATGGCCCTCTGTCTACTGTATAATTAGTGTGCCTCTCCGCTACCAGGTATTGCAGTAACATCAAGCAGAAACCATTACACATCCATTAAATTAGTATCCATTTTGAGAGTACAGTACCAGTACCTGTATTAACTCTGACTCACTTACATGAAGCACTGGATCAATTTGCACCTCATTATTTAAACAGTATGGGGTGAGTTTAGTAGACTTCCTCCTGTAAGTGCAAACATCTGTGTGTGTGGCTAACTATTTCATTACTAAGGTCATTTGAAGTCACTACTCTGGCTCCCCTGTCGACTCCCTGGTTACGTCACAAATTGGGTGCCATTTGGGAGGCAGCCCATGTAACAAACTGTAGGTCTAGCTGCATGTCTCCGCGGCGACGCCATGCCCTCTCTCCCCAGAAGGTCTTCCTACCAGTCTGAGAAAACAAAACAAGGAGGGAGGGATACATCTGGCAATGCTTCACATCCCGAAACCTGGCTGGCCTTATTTATTCTCTCTCTCTCTCTCTCTCTCTCTCTCTCTCTCTCTCTCTCTCTCTCTCTCTCTCTCTCTCTCTCTCGTCTTGTCCCTTCTCTTATCCTGGAGTAATCCTTTACTCCGGCCTGGGTCCCTGTATTCTCCCACACACAGCCACTCAGCCATTGTTTCCCTCCAGGAGCTGTTCTGTTTCTGCAGAGGGAGGGGGCAGGCTGGCTTTCTGTCTGCCCAGGGCAGTGTGGGAAACATGGGGTAGGTGGTGGGTGACAGACCCTTGGCCCTGGGTAAATTGGTGACAGAGGGGAAATGAGTCCAAACTCAATCAGAGGATCTGGGTGGAAGGTGCCCGTAGGCACAGATCATGAATTATTTTACCTCCTAGAAATCTGATCTCAATATACAGTAAAAGACACACCAAATCCTTCGCTGGTGCTTGATCGATGATGAACTCTGTATTGTAGGGTTGGTGGCACAGATCTAGGATCAGTTTACCTTCCCTTAGGAGTGGTAGCACTAAACTGTCATCCATGTCCATGGGCAACATACTCTGAGGGACATACCCATCCCTTGTCTGACTCTTGGCTGATGATGTCATCTGTATTCTGTGTAGTTGGGGGTGCTATTGACTGTATGATCCTCCATACCCTTGGTTAGCACCCCACCGCCAAGTGGCTGTGATTTTGTACTTCTTTGATTCAGTAATTCAGTTGGGTGTCCAATGTTCATCAATCATACTGCCTCCTCAGTCATAAAACAATCATATCAAAGTGAAATCAGTTTTGTTGTTGTATTACTAAATTATTGGTAGAAATGATTGATGTGTACCCCTATCCCCCTTACAAGTTAGGCTACATGACATTAGAAAATAAGTAGCCTACTGATATATGAATGCAATTTATTTATTTATTTCTGCGAAATAAACTGTCAATACACATCAGCTTTGTTTTCCATGAAAGGGAGCGCTAAAAGCCTTTTAAATGGGATGTGGAGAGAGGAAGAGAGACGGGGGGAGAGAGGAAGAGATACGGGGGGGTGTTTGACTCACAGCACAGCAGACTGCTCCCTCCGGACTAGAGCAGCCTATATTCGGAGTCGTTGTGCAGGGTAGCTCAAAGGGCAGGCTGCGGCCAATTCCCAGGGATGCAAAAATTGTCGGAAAACAAGCAGTGATTAGCGCGCACAGGAATGCGACCCAAATTGAAGTGGTGTGTCTTTGGGAATCCATGCGGGGTTCCATGGAGTAATGTTTCACCTCTTTAGTAAATCGTAAGTGTTCTTATCTTATCTTGCTTTCATGTTTTCATAAAAACTTGGTTGGTGTGTGTTGATGATGGATACGGTTGTTGCGCGCTGTTTGATTTTGCGACCTCTGCCCTCTTTCCCTCAGGTATGTTTAGCCTAAACAAATTATTGTCGCTAGCTACACTATTGCAAACAGCTGTTACATAATGTTTACAAAGGTTATGGCTTGGAGAATATAGTTACTGGAATTGGAATGCTATTCGGGTAAACAGGAAAATGTCTAGCAGACTGCTTGGAAAAGGGTCGAGAACGAAGGATTAGGGACGCCAGACGCGTTCAGATTTGTAGATGGAAATATTCAGTGCCAGGGGCAAATCTACTGTAGTGCAGAACAAGACAGCAAAGCATATAGTTCAGTTTACTATTGTGAGAAAATTGCTTGTAATAATTTGGTTATTCATTTATCTCTATAGTCAATTGTATCGTTCTATTGTTGTGTTTTTATCTAGAATAGTTCTGTTGTTGAGAAAATACAGAGAGAGAGAGAGCACAGGAGAGGGAGAGGGAGAGAGAGAGCAGGGCGAGAGAGGGAGAGAGAGAGAGAGAGAGAGAGAGAGAGAGAGAGAGAGAGAGAGAGAGAGAGAGCAGGGCGAGAGAGAGAGAGAGAGAGAGAGAGAGAGCCCATAAACTTGCTCTGAATACCAGTTCAGCCATGCTCTAGTGTTTTTCCTTGTCAGTGTTACCATACTTTATCTGCCTAAGAAGTTTTTGCTTATTGCAGGCAAGCCTCAATTCCTCCATTCTTGATGACTTCTGTCTCCTTTCCTATCCATTGCCATGGTGGGTACATGTGACTTTGTAAAGGAAGAGGTCAAGAGCTCCTTCTAACTTTTCATCCTCCTTTTCTCATCTCCTCTTCTTACAGTACTATCACCTCCCTTACATAGCCGCTGGAAGTAGGGGTGCTGAGGGTGCTACAGCACCCCCTAAAAAATCTTAATAAAACAATTATAATATATATATATATATATATATATATATATATATATATATATATATACACACTACCGTTCAAAAGTTTTAGAAAATCTACTCATTCAAGGGTTTTTCTTTATTTTTATAATTTTCTACATTGTAGAATAATAGTGAAGACATCAAAACTATGAAATAACACATATGGAATCATGTAGTAACCAAAAAAGTGTTAAACAAATCAAAATATATTTGAGATTTGAGATTCTTCAAATAGCCACCCTTTGCATTGATGACAGCTTTGCACACTCTTGGGATTCTCTCAACCAGCTTCATGAGGTAGTCACCTGGAATGCAGTTCAATTAACAGGTGTGCCTTCTTAAAAGTTAATTTGTGGAACTTCTTTCCTTCTTAACAACTTTGAAAGTTTCTTCAAGTGCAGTCGCAAAAACCATCAAGCGCTATGATGAAACTGTCTCTCATGAGGACCGCCACAGGAATGGAAGACCCAGAGTTACCTCTGCTGCAGAATATACATTCATTAGAGTTAACTGAACCTCAGAAATTGCAGCCCAAATAAATTAATCACAGAGTTCAAGTAACAGACACATCTCAACATCAACTGTTCAGAGGAGACTGTGTGAATCAGGCCTTCATGGTCTAATTGCTGCAAAGAAACCACTACTAAAGGACACCAATAAGAAGAAGAGACTTGCTTGGGCCAAGAAACACAAGCAATGGACAGTAGACCGGTGGAAATTGTCCTTTGGTCTGGAGTCCAAATTGTTAATTTTTGGTTCCAACCGCCGTGTCTTTGTGAGACGCGTGTGGGTGAATGGATGATCTCTGCATGTGTATTTCCCACCATAAAGCATGGAGGAGGAGGTGTTATGGTGTGGGGGTGATTTGCTGGTGACACTGCCTGTGATTTATTTAGAATTCAAGGCACACTTAACCAGCATGGCTACCACAGCATTCTGCAGCGATACGATTAGTGGGACTATCATTTGTTTTTCAACAGGACAACAAGAAGGAGAGTGATGGAGTGCTGCATCAGATGACCTGGCCTCCACAATCCCCTGACCTCAACCAAATTGAGATGGTTTGGGATGAGTCGGACCGCAGAGTGAAGGAAAAGCAGCCAACAAGTGCTCAGCATAAGACAGTTGGAAAAGCATTCCAGTTGAAGCTGGTTGAGAGAATGCCAAGAGTGTGCAAAGCTGTCATCAAGTCAAAGGGTGGCTATTTGAAGAATCTCAAATATAAAATACATTTTGATTTGTTTAACACTTTGTTGGTTACTACATGATTCCATATGTTATTTCATAGTTTTGATGTCTTCACTATTATTCTACAATGTAGAAAATAGTAAAAAATCAAGAAAAACCCTTGAATGAGTAGGTGTTCTAAAACGTTTTACCTGTAGTGTATATTGTTATTATTATTAGTAGTAATATTATTATTATTTTCTTCAGATTTCTCAGGGGGTGCTGTAGCACCCTCAGCACCACTACTTCCAGTGGCTATGTAAGGGAGGTGATAGTACTCTACAGCACCCTTACTTATATATACAAATAATAAAATATAATAAATAAATAAAACGAATCAGAAAAGTACTGCACTGGGTCTTTTACTAGTCCTGTATTAGCGGACCGATATAGCCATCTGTAGCGTGGGCACAAAAAAAAAACCTTTGTGTACTAGGCCTTTACTAGTTCGGTATTAGCGTTTTAAAAAATCACAGCATCCCAACTCCCAGATATCTTCCCTCGGCTATGTTCCCTTAGCATTAATATAAGGATGTTATTGTTAAGTAACGGTTTAAGTAAGAAGCCTGCTTGCTTGTAACTAATTTATATTTTCCCCAGCAGCTCATATACTGAATGCTGCATGATAACAATTATGTAATGTGTTTATTTGACTGCTCATCCTCTTTTTCCTTCCTACACACACACACACACACACACACACACACACACACACACACACACACACACACACACACACACACACACACACATACACACACACTCGCTCTCTCAGCAGGGAGTAGCCTAGTTAAAACCCATAGTCATGCTTACCATCACTCTGTCTACTAATAGTCTCCATTCTCCTATTTATTATTGAAACCGCTCTACTGTAGGGCTATAGAGAGATGCTGCTTTCATTTAAATTGTGTAGAAGGGCTCCTCTGAAAGCCCACTTCACTTTAGAAAGTATTGTATTGTATTTATTATGTATCCCATTAGCTGCTGCCAAGGAAGCAGCTACTCTTCCTGGGGTCCAACACATTTTTACCTTTATTTAACTAGGCAAGTCAGTTAAGAACAAATTCTTATTTACAATGACGGCCTACCAAAAGGCAAAAGGCCTGAGTATACCAAACATTAGGAACACCTTCCAAATATTGAGTTGCACCCCACCCCCTTTTGCCCTCAGAACAGCCTCAATTTGTCGGGGCATGGACTCTACAAGGTGTCGAAAGCGTTCCACAGGGATGCTGGCCAATTTTGACTCCAAAGCTTCCCACAGTTGTGTCAAGTTGGCTGGATGACCTTTGGGTGGTGGACCATTCATGATACACACGGGACTGTTGAGCATGAAAAACCAAGTAGCGTTGCAGTTCTTGACACAAACACCGTTCAAAGGCACTTAAATATTTTGTCTTGCCCATTCACCCTCTGAATGGCACACACACACAATCCATGTCCCAATTGTCTCAAGGCTTAAAAATCCTTATTTAACCTGTCTCCTCCCCTTCAGCAAAAACTGATTGAAGTGGATTTAACAAATGACATCAATAAGGGATCATAGCTTTCACCTGGATTCACCTGGTCAGTCTATGTCATGGAAAGAGCAGGTGTTCATAATGTTTTGTATACTCAGTGTATAGGCCTATAGAGAGAATTAGCGAACTCACACACACACCCCGTAAAAGCACTCATCAATCAAAGCCACAGGTGTACAGTTGAAGTCAGAAGTTTACATACACTTTGGTTGGAGTCATTAAAACTGGTTTTTCAACCACTCCACAAATTTCTTGTTAACAAACTATAGTTTTGGAAAGTCGGTTAAGACATCTACTTTGTGCATGACACAAGTCATTTTTCCAATAATTGTTTACAGATAGATTATTTGACTTACAATTCGCTGTATCACAATTCCAGTGGGTCAGAAGTTTACATACACCAAGTTGACTGTGCATTTAAACAGCTTGGAAAAATCCAGAAAATGATGTCATGGCTTTAGAAGCTTCTGATAGGCTAATTGACATCATTTGAGTCAATTGGAGGTGTACCTGTGGATGTATTTCAAGGCCCACCTTCAAACTCAGTGCCTCTTTGCTTGACATCATGGGAAAATCAAAAGAAATCAGCCAAGACCTCAGAAAAAAGATTGTTGACCTCCACAAGTCTGGTTCATCCTTGGGAGCTATTTCCAAACACCTGAAGGTACCACGTTCATCTGTACAAACAATAGTACACAAGTATAAACACCATGGGACTACGCAGCCGTAATACCACTCAGGAAGGAGACTCGTTCTGTCTCCTAGAGATGAACGTACTTTGGTGCGAAAAGTGCAAATCAATCCCAGAACAACAGCAAATGTCCTTGTGAAGATGCTGGAGGAAACAGGTACAAAATTATCTATATCCACAGTAAAACAAGTCCTATATCGACATAACCTGAAAGGCCGCTCAGGAAGGAAGAAGCCACTGCTCCAAAACCGGCATAAAAAAAGCCAGACTACGGTTTGCAATTGCACATGGGGACAAAGATCTTACTTTTTGGAGAAATGTCCTCTGGTCTGATGAAACAAAAATAGAACTGTTTGGCCATAATGACCATCGTTATGTTTGGAGGAAAAAGGGGTCTGCTTGCAAGCCGAAGAACACCATCCAAACTGTGAAGCACGGGGGTGGCAGCATCATGCTGTGGGGGTGCTTTTCTGCAGGAGGGACTGGTGCACTTCACAAAATAGATGGCATCATGAGGAAAGAAAATTATGTGGATATATTGAAGCAACATCTCAAGACATCAGTCAGGAAGTTAAAGCTTGGTCGCAAATGGGTCTTCCAAATGGACAAGCATACTTCCAAAGTTGTGGCAAAATGGCTTAAGGCCAACAAAGTCAAGGTATTGGAGTGGCCATCACAAAGCCCTGACCTCAATCCTATAGAAAATGTGTGGGCAGAACTGAAAAAGCGTGTGCGAGCAAGGAGGCCTACAAACCTGACTCAGTTACACCAGCTCTGTCAGGAGGAATGGGCCAAAATTCACCCAACTTATTGTGGGAAGCTTGTGGAAGGCTACCCGAAACGTTTGACCCAAGTTAAACAATATAAAGGCAATGCTACCAAATACTAATTGGGTGTATGTAAACTTCTGACCCACTGGGAATGTGATGAAAGAAATAAAAGCTGAAATAAATCATTCTCACTACTAATATTCAGACATTTCACATTCTTTAAATAAAGTGGTGATCCTAACTGACCTAAGACAGGGAATTTTTACTAGGATTAAATGTCAGGAATTGTGAAAAACTGAGTTTAAATGTATTTGGCTAAGGTGTATGTAAACTTCGACTTCAACTGTATGTCAGACACAAGCAAATATTCATCCTTTCCTTAACACTAGAACTACCTGGCCTTTGAGCCTGTAAATACCCGCTAGAGAATGTTGCCTGGCGTCGCTTTAGCATATCCATCAGATGCATATCAACCCGCACAAACATAAGCACCAATGCTTGATAGATAGTGCATAAACTATTGTAAAGGATTAATTGCATTAATAAATATATACATTAAAAAAACTAACAACAATAGTTATTTGTTTAGTTGAGTGTAATCCATTTGATCAACTTTATTTGTAGATTTGATTAGTAATAGAGTTATAGTAATTAATAAACTCCAATTACAGCTTCTTTTGACAAAGTAGACAGTAAAATATAATAATATAACCATCCAGGTGCACAGGTAAAATGATTTGCCGTAGTCTAAAACAAAATCACCAGTGCATGAACAATTGGAAAGGATGAAATGCATAAAGAAATATTAGTGGAAATATATTCATGACAAGATTTGTTGATTGTATCGGACACTGTATTGTGCCCTTATACGGATGCCTTTACGCACCAATCAGTCTTCTCTTTATGCTTCGGGGTACAGTCTGCACACAGCTTCGGGGCTTTGTGTGAGGAAAAAGTCCACCCCATACCTATCAGACCAAAATGACTCAACATCCATGCTCTTTCCACCGTATGCCCCGCGGACATACAAGAGTCCAATAAATGCTTTGAGTTCATCCATAGACATGTCCCACATACTGTTTCCTTTTCTGTGCGCATGAGTAATAGTACAATTAATCTCTGATGTGCTGCAACATCTGCATGTCACTTAAGCTCTTTTCTAACCAAACCCTGCCATCCCTCCCAGACTCCTGTCTCACCGTGGCAGTTGGGATCACCGTCTTAGTTGTCTCTGTTCTGATTTTTCTGCGGCAAGGCTCAGGCATCGGAAGCGGAGGCTCGAAGTCAACATCAGAATCAGATGAAGACTCTTCATCAGCAACGTCTATTTCAAGCTCAATATCCGATCCTCCACCCAACTCCAACTCATCTAAATTCTGCAGCATTTGCAATGCTGTCAGTGCATCCATTTGTTTGATTCGGCTTTCCATGGTGAACTACAGACGTTGTACAGTCGTGGTCAAAAGCTTTGAGAATGACACAGGTATTGGTCTTCACAAAGTTCGCTGCTTCAGTGTTATAAGATATATTTGTCAGATGTTACTATGGTATACTGAAGTATAATTACAAGCATTCCATAAGTGTCAAAGGCTTTTATTGACAATTACATTAAGTTTCTGCAAAGAGTCAATATTTGCAGTGTTGACCCTTCTTTTTCAAGACCTCTGCAATCCGCCCTGGCATGCTGTCAATTAACTTCTGGGCCACATCCTGACTGATGGCAGCCCATTCTTGCATAATCAATGCTTGGAGTTTGTCAGAAGTTGTGGGTTTTTGTTTGTCCACCTGCCTCTTGAGGATCGACCACAAGTTCTCAATGGGATTAAGGTCTGGGGAGTTTCCTGGCCATGGACCCAAAATGTCGATGTTTTGTTCCCCGATCCACTTAGTTATCACTTTTGCCTTATGGCAAGGTGCTCCATCATGCTGGAAAAGGCATTGGTCTTCACCAAACTGTTCTTGGATGGTTGGGAGAAGTTGCTCTCGGAGGATGTGTTGGTACCATTCTTTATTCATGGCTGTGTTCTTAGGCAAAATTGTGAGTGAGCCCACTCCCTTGGCTGAGAAGCAACCCCACACATGAATGGTCTCAGGATGCTTTACTGTTGGCATGACACAGGACTGATGGTAGCGCTCACCTTGTCTTCTCCGGACAGAGTGTTTTCCGGATGCCCCAAACAATCGGAAAGAGGATTCATCAGAGAAAATGACTTTACCCTAGTCCTCAGCAGTCCAATCCCTGTACCTTTTGCAGAATATCAGTCTGTCCCTGATGTTTTTCCTGGAGAGAAGTGGCTTCTTTGCTGCCCTTCTTGACACCAGGCCATCCTCCAAAAGTCTTCGCCTCACTGTGCGTGCAGATGCACTCACAACTGCCTGCTGCCATTCCTGAGCAAGCTCTGCACTGGTGGTGCCCCGATCCCGCAGCTGAATCAACTTTAGGATACGGTCCTGGCGCTTGCTGGACTTTCTTGGGTGCCCTGATGCCTTCTTCACAACAATTCAACCTCTCTCCTTGAAGTTCTTGATGATCCGATAAATGGTTGATTTAGGTGCAATCTTACTAGTAGCAATATCCTTGCCTGTGAAGCCCTTTTTGTGCAAAGCAATGATGACGGCACGTGTTTCCTTGCAGGTAACCATGGTTAACAGAGGAAGAACAATGATTTCAAGCACCACCCTCTTTTTAAAGCTTCCAGTCTGTTATTCTAACTCAATCAGCATGACAGAGTGATCTCCAGCCTTGTCCTCGTCAACACTCTCACCTGTGTTAACGAGAGAATCACTGACATGATGGCAGCTGGTCCTTTTGTGGCAGGGTTGAAATGCAGTGGAAAAGTTTTTGGGGGATTAAGTTAATTTTCATGGCAAAGAGGGACTTTGCAATTAATTGCAATTCATCTGATCACTCTTCATGACATTCTGGAGTATATGCAAATTACCATCATCGAAACTGAGGCAGCAGACTTTGTGAAAATTAGTTTTTGTGTCATTCTCAAAACTTTTGACCACGACTGTATGTTTTACTCGATGTCTGATTTGACTCTCCGAGAGGAAATTATATACAATTTTCAGCCTTTTATAATAAAATAATTAGACCGCCCACAACGCCCATAATTATTCATCATCATTACACTATTGTTCTAAATTCAATCATCCTTTTCACCCTCATCATTCCGATCAATCAAATTCAATCACCATCTTCACCCTCCTCATCATTCAGTTCATTGAAGTCACATGCACCATTATCAGTTTCTATCTGGTTTTTATCGCCCATTCATCCATTGACCACAAAATAGCATATTTAAATTGTAAGTTTATTACGTTACTAGTTTTTGCTTAGTAGCCAGAGCAATGCTGCCGCACAAGTGGTCATGTGCTGAATGCATGCACAGCACAAATATTCTTGGAAAAAATTAAATTTATAAATAGAACTCCCTGTTGCTACTACCTCTCAGTGGTCTGCGGGTCAGAGGGCACACAGCCTGCTCCAACATGAGGCTTCCTCTCGTCCAGTGACCTGAGAGATTGGAAACCAACCTATCTGTCTCTCTGAATCAGTGTCATAGGGTATGTTCTTCTACCCCGTCTTGCGCTCTCTTTCTCCACATCCTCTGTTAGCGGGGCACCATGCTGTGTATTTGAGATCACATTGAGGCCAGAGGGGGATGAGCTATGAGCTGATGCTGGTCTATGTCTATGCATGAAGGTCTCCTGTTAATCATATAGTTCATCAAGCTTGGTATTCACACTCATGTCTCCTGTTCTTTCTATACACATATTTTCCAGACACTTTATATCACTAGTCTCACAAGTCAAGACTGGAAATGGAGCTAGTATCAATAGCTTACCAAACATGTATCTCAAGGAGTATAATATGCTTTCCTTCTGACAGTCATCCTCATTAACCTCTGACCCCTGACGTGATTGGTTCATTAAGGGTCCTTTATCAGCCTGACCTTTGAACCTCATTAATGCATCCCAGTTACCATGGCAATGTTGAAGGTCAGGGAGTTACTCTATAAGACCACTTTACTCCTGCAGTGATCACTGTGACCCCCCCCACCCCCCCCTCCCAGTCTCATTCAAAATCCTATTTTCCCTAACCCCTAACCCTAACCCTAGACCTAACCCTAACCCTAGCTCTAACTCTAACTCTTACCCTAACCCTAACCGTAACCCCAAAACCTAACCTTAACCCTAAACCTAGCTCCTAACCCTAAACCTAATTTGAACCCTAACACTAATTCTAACCTTAACCCTAAACGCCCTAGAAATAGCATTTGACCTTGTGGGGACCAACAAAATGTCCCTAGTTGGTCAAATCGTTGTTTGTTTACTATTCTTGTGGGGACATCTGGTCCGCACAAGTATAGTTAAACATGTCCACACACACACACACACACACACACAATGATTATAGCTTTGGCTAGTTCCGCAACACCACTCCATGTTCTCAGCACATGGAAACAGTTTGGTATATTCTATTCATCATCTGTCTGTAATTTCCTAAAGTGGTCATCACTGGAGAGTGACATAATAATAAGCTGATGATCTGGTCTGCTCTGCTCTGGTCAGGTCTGGTCAGCTCATCCTCTGGTCTGTTAAAGTGGACAGCTGCTCTGCTACTTTAAACAACGAGGACCATGACATCATGCCATCAGTCTGTGAGGCAGCCAGCTCTACAGATGCAGCTGAATAGGCTGTATCCTCTTTCCTCTCTGTGTCCTATAGCAGATGTTACACATAATACGCAGAAAACCTCCCACCGAGCATGTAACGTGATCTTTCATAGTAATGTATGTGTGGTGCATGTGTGCATATCTGTGTGTGTATTATATCTGTGTGTGTGTTGGTTTGGTTTCACCTGGTGACCTATGCGCCCTAGCCCCGGCTGTGTTGGATCCACAGCAGATGTTGTTTAACCTCAGGACTTCAGCTCCCAGACAGCATTACCCACAATGCACTGCTGCTTTGCTGTGAGTCAGTGAGCCAGGTATCCCGACGGGCTCCTAAAGGGTCCTGGCAGAGAGCGATAGAAAGCCAGAGAGATGATGTCATTTACAGCCAACACAGCTTTCTGCTCTCTTTGTGTGTGCATGCGTATGCGTGTCACAGCCCTCAAAAAGCTCCCTCTCTTTTTCCTTTTGCTAGAACAAATTCATGTCTCTGTGTTCAGCTGTTGCTTTCATACAGTCTCTGTGCTTTCACGTCTCCTCTCAGTGAGGCAGGCAGCAGGCTCAAAGAGAAAGGGTGTGTTTTCTGTGATTATTTCTCATAAAGGGGTAGAAGCACGGTATGGCTTAGTCTTTCATCCCTTGTTGTTTGGTTCAAGGCTGCTTGAGGGCACCTGTTTTTTCCTCCCTCTCCCTGGTGTAATCCCCTTGTTTTGTCTTGTGTACATTAGTCTCTGAGAGAATGAGAGAGTGAGTGGTCCTCTCTTCTTCCTCTGTCTGTACAAGGCTAGATGGCACTAATTCAACAGCACCAGACCGCGGCTACTCTCTCCATTCTTTCTCTCCCGCTCTCTCACCCTCTCTCAAAACCAATCAAGGCCACCCATTGTGTCAGATGGCCATTGGGTAATTATTATATCTGGCTGAGGCTTCTATGGGAAGAGATTCCACTGTAAGGAGCATCATTGAGTTGCCTGGGATGGCTGATGCTGCATTAGCTCAATGGCTCCAGCTTTGGATAAAAGTGTCTCGTCTGAGTGTATTTGCGGAGTGTATTTGAGGTGTTTCTCTCAGTCCCTAGCGTTGCCTGAGGTATCTCAGTCTGAAACAGTGAGTTGGTTCTGTTCTGTCTGTCTGATTAACAGAAGCGTTCGGGTTTTAAGGTCCATATCTAGAAGTCAGTGGTTCCGTCAACGGATCCGCTCACATACAACTTCCGTTCCGTGCCAGCGATTCCTGACAGGATCCCTCCGTTCTGTTGACCTCTCACGGCAGGAAGGACGGTTGCTTTTCTGCCTGCTCTCTCTCTCTCTCTCTCTCTCTCTCTCTCTCTCTCTCTCTCTCTCTCTCTCTCTCTCTCTCTCTCTCCACCACAGATGCTGCAATTGACAGCTGGCAGGTGGACACACACACACATCGACACACACAAAAATCAGCATCCTTGCATCCATATAGAAACTATAAGAAAATAACATAGCTTTGAGATGAGTCAACAAAAAAACGTACACACCAGCAGCATCTGTTGTGAGGAGACCTGAGGGACTCATTATTCCATCTGAACAGAGAGAAGACGGGAGAAGGAGGAAACGGCATATCTGTTCTGTTCTGGCCAACAGAGAGAGAGATGGAGCCTGTGACAGATTGCATGGCGGCGTGACAGACAGACAGACGGCCAGTCTGATAGTTGGGTTTTCTCTGCTACAAAGACAGCCTCAACGTCAAGGCGAATGGGACTAATGCACATTTACTGTGTGGCTGGGTGTGTGAATAATTGCTTGTTTGTCTGTGCGTGGTTGTGTGTTTTGTAATTGTGTGTGTTTGTGTGTGTACCTGCATATGTGTGTGTGTGTGACCGTTGATTTGTATGTTAGAGTGTTTGTGCCGTGGTGCATGCCCAATTCTACCTATGGCCAGCTGGCTGGCTGGAGGTTTCAAACGCAGCACAGGCTATAGAGGAGCTCATTACAGCTCATACTCATTACCCAATTACCTCTCTAGTCTGAGAAGCTCTTATCCAATCAGTTCACTGGATCTCATACCTAATCAGCTGTCCCATCATATCTCTATTCTCTGCATCTCATACCCAATCAACTCACTGTTCTCAACCTCTTTGCCAATCGGCTTACTGAGCTCGCCAACTGCATTGTTTTGGCCAAGGGGATTTAAAGAAACCTACCCACATTAATTGTGTATGTGTGATACATTTCTGTGTTCACTACAGTCAGTGCTGCTTCTGCAAATATTGACATGAGAGGAGAGGCCAAATCCTCTCCCAGGGTGGATGACCACCCATGTAGTGTGTGTGTGCAGAAGCATTTATCAAACGTGGGATACGTCGCTGGGCTGAAAGCAGAGTGCCATGTCAACAGAGGGTCCAGTCCTACTGCTGCTGCTGTAAGTCACAGAGTTTCCAAACAAACACAGGCCTCAGTGTTAACACTATCCTCCATTAACTCTGCTCTGTTTATCAGACTGGCTGGCTGGCTGCATTACTACTCTTGTCCCTTTTTGCTGCTATAGACTAGCGACAGCCAATGAATATGACCAAAGTATCCCTTGTTGGACAGTAGAGTGGTAAAGCATGGTTGTTGTTTTGATTGTGTAGTAGTTTTCTGAGCTATAGGGTGAAGTGTTTTTCTCTCTGTATTATTTCTCTCTGAAGTACTTTACCCACATATTTACAGTTGGTTAGTTATCAGTGTATCTGCAGTCCCTGGTGGAGCACTCAGTCAGTCAGCGTGGTGTTACTCCTTAAGTTCCCTGATGCCTCTGTGGCCCAGAGCGATTTGGGTTCCTACCAGATACTCAGTCTGATAGTTTACTACAACAGAGAAACAGGATGCAGACAGACTCTGGCTGGGTAGGTTCAAAACCTCTTAGAGTCCATTACTCCTCTCTCTCCTGTCCCTAGTCCCGGTCCTAACCAGGTTTCCATCGACCCAGGCCTGCTCCGGGCTGGATAGTGTGACGGTGGGCTCTGTGGTGGGTAGAAGGGCTGGACAGGGCCTGGCGAGGCCGGTGGAAAGGCTGCCTGCTAAGTGAATCATCAGTGTATTCTGAGAAGAGAACAGTCAGCCATTCAGGCTGGTCGATAATACGGTGGAGTGGAGCTGGGGCCAACCCCCACTCGCTGATTACTCACTGTACAACCATGCATCTCAACATCACACACTGCTCAACGACAGATAGAGATACAAGGGGGGTGTGTGCTCGTGTGTGTGTGTGCGTGCGCGTACACACATATTTTTGTCTCTGGGTGCATGTTCTTGTACATAAAATTGGCTTCCTCTTTGCAACGTTGCTCCTATTTTCTTAGTATCTCTCCATACATAGCCTTTCTGTATTTATGCAACAACCTCTCTCTGCGAGTCAGAGGGAATATTCTGGCTGGGAGAAATAAGGCTTCTCTGTTCTATTCCTGCTCTGCCTCTGAAATATTTACATGGAAAAAATAGAACCCAGAGGACTGGAGACAGAAGGAGGGAGGATGAGGAGGAGATGAGACTCCATGGAACAAGGGATGGGTAGGGAGCAGGGAAAGAGGAGAAAGAGTGAGATGGAAGGGGAAGACAAATGTTAATAATAATAATAGGTCATTTAGCAGACGCTCTTATCCAGAGCGACTTACAGGAGCAATTAGGGTTAAGTGCCTTGCTCAAGGGCACATCGACAGATTTTTCACCTAGTCGGCTCGGGGATTAGAACCAGCGACCTTTCGGTTACTGGCACAACGCTCTTAACCACTAAGCTACCTGCCTCCCCTTGCATCAAGAATTCCCCTTGCATCAAGTATATGCCCAGGCAAACACACACAGAGAGAGAGAGAGAGAGAGAGAGAGAGAGAGAGAGAGAGAGAGAGAGAGAGAGAGAGAAGATTCTCAAGGACAAAGGAGGATGATAGCTGAGAATAGATGGTGTTGGGGGATGGAGAGGAGAAGAGGATAGGAGGGGCTGGGGGGATCGTAAAGCTAGTTGTTATCTGTGGATGAGCTGAGGTACACAAACACACACACACACACACACACACACACACACAAACAAGCACATGAGAGTGCTCATACATTACAGGGGATCTACTCTGATGCAGGAGCTATAAGCATCACTTCATAGAATTCATTTTATTTGACATGCATCTTAACAGCTCCTTTCATATCACTATTACAGTGTGTTGGAGGTGCCTATCACATAATACAGATAAACTGGTATACAATACAGATGACATGTCACATTGGTATTCATATATTCACCTTCATTCTAATTTTTCCACTGAGGGAGTGATGTATGTGGAGAGAGAGAGCGAGAGGAAGTCATCTTGTTTTTCGTCAATGGCTGTTTCCTGTGTGTTTGTTTGAAGAGCAGGACGTGTAGCTGTAGTGGGGTGTTTTGAAAGATGCTTCCTGTCTGACTCACATGGCTCCAGCCAGACATAATCCTCCAAACCGCTTGGCTTTTCTATGAAAAACAGCACAGCATGGTCTGCCAGTCAATATTTTCTCCCTCTATGTCTCCACACCCAGAGGAACATACAAAAACACCATCCAAAAAAGAATTGCATGTCTTTCTTCCCCATCGCTCCGTTTTTGTACTTCCCTCCCTATCGCTCTGTCTCTAGACTTTAAACTAGCAGACCTGGAAGCAGTGCAGCAGTGAAAATACACAGCTGTCTGTCTGATAGAGAGAAAGCAGAGCAGTACTTTATCTGAGGCCCATATGGTGCCACATGAGGAAGAGGACACCTTCTCTGTTTGGCCCTAGCAGGGGCCGGTACGGGGCCGGATTCCTTGTTGATTGACAGGTCAAAGCACTGACAGGATGGAAGTGAGTGTTAGGGCTTGTTCCGGTCCGAAGTGTCAAGCTCCACATGAAGAGTCAGAGCTGCTTCCCTCGGTCTTCCTGTCATTCTGGATAGAGTGTTCCGTATGTGTCTGACTGGCCAGGGTCCAGGGTCCGTGGAGGGAGGGAGGGAGCAAAAAAAGAAAAAAACATTGAGAAGCATAGCCCGCCAGCTGGTTGTGGGGCTTTGTTCACAAATACAAACAGACCCCACAGAGCCCCAGGACAGCAACATAATTAGACCCAACCAAATTATGAGAAAACAAAAAGATAACTACTTGACACATTGGAAAGAATAAAACAAAAACCAAAGTGAGTACACAGTGGCAGAATACCTGTGAGTGGCCCAAAACTAAGAAAAGCCTTGACTATGTACTAGGAATGTTTGGTCGTTAGGCTGTTGGTCGACCGAGATTGTTTTAGTCGAGCAGTAACAAATATACACTACCGTTCAAAGGTTTGGGGTCACTTAGAAATGTCCTTGTTTTCGAAAGGAAATAAAAAAAAATGTGTCCATTAAAATAACATCAAATTGATCAGAAATACAGTGTAGACATTGTTAATGTTGTAAATGGCTATTGTAGCTGGAAATGGCTGATTTTTAATGGAACATCTACATAGGCGTACAGAGGCCCATTTATAGCAACCATCAGTCCTGTGTTCCAATGGCACGTTGTGTTTGCTAATCCAAGTTTATAATTTTAAACGGCTAATTGATCATTAGAAAACCCTTTTGCAATTATGTTAGCACAGCTGAAAACTGTTGTGCTGATTAAAGAAGCAATAAAACTGGCCTTCTTGAGACTAGTTGAGTATCTGGAGCATCAGCAATTGTGGGTTCGATTACAGGCTCAAAAAGGCCAGAAACAAATAACTTTCTTCTGAAACTCATCAGTCTATTCTTGTTCTGAGAAATGAAGGCTATTCCATGCGAGAAATTGCCAAGAAACCGAAGATCTCGTACAACGCTGTGTACTACTCCCTTCACAGAACAGTGCAAACTGGCTCTAACCAGAATAGAAAGAGGAGTGGGAGGCCCCGGTACACAACTGAGCAAGAGGACAAATACATTAGAGTGTCTAGTTTGAGAAACAGACGCCTCACAGGTCTTCAACTGGCAGCTTCATTAAATAGTACCCGCAAAACACCAGTCTCAACGTCAACAGTGAAGGGGCGACTCCGGGATGCTGACCTTCTAGGCATAGTTGCAAAGAAAAAGCCATATCTCAGACTGCCCATCTCAATCTTTTCTTTTTATTGGCCAGTCTGAGATATGGCTTTTTCTTGCAAAGTGGAAGATTTTTTATTTATTATTATTAATGAAAAATACAACTAATATATCTTGATTAGATAAGTATTCAACACCTTGGGGCAATACATGTTAGAATCACCTTTGGCAGGATTACATCGTTGAGTCTTTTTAGGTAAGTCTCTAAGAGTTTTGCACACCTGGATTGTACAATATTTGTCCATTATTATTTTTTAAACTCTTCAAGCTCTGTCAAGTTGGTTGTTGATCATTGCTAGACAGCCATTTTCAAGTCTTGCCATAGATTTTCAAGATGATTTAAGTCAAAACTGTAATTAGGCCACTAAGGAACATTCAATGTCATCTTGGTAAGCAACTCCAAGTGTATATTTGCAAGTGTATATTTGGTATTGAGTTTTAGGTTATTGTCCTGCTGAAAGGTGAATTTGTCTCCCAGTGTCTGTTGGAAAGCAGACTGAACCAGGTTTTCCTCTAGGATTTTGCCTGTGCTTAGCTCTATTCCATTTATCTCTATCCCCCCCAAAAAAACTCCCTAGTCCTTGCCGATGACGAGCATATCCATAACATCATGCAGACACCACCAAGCTTTAAAATGTGAAGATTGGTACTCAGTGATGTGTTGTGTTGGATTTGCCCCAAACATAATGCTTTGTATTCAGGACAAAAAATTAATTTCTTTGCCATTTGCCTCATGGTGAAATCCCTGAGCGGTTTCCTTCCTCTCCGGCAACTGAGTTAGGAAGGACGCCTGTATCTTTGTAGTGACTAGGGTGTATTGATACACCATCTAAAGCATAAAGGGATATTCATTGTCTGCATTTCTTTTTTTACCGATCTACGAATAGGTGCTCTTCTTTGCGAGGCATTGGAAAACCTCCCAGGTCTTTGTGATTGAATCTGTGCTTGAAATTCTCTACTCGACGGAGGGAGCCTACATATAATTGTATGTGTGGGGTACAGAGATGGGGTAATTATTAAAAAATCATGTTAATCACTGTTATTGCACACAGAGTGAGTCCATGCAACTTATTATGTGACTTGTTAAGCACATTTTTACTCCTGAACGTATTTAAGCATGCCATAACAAAGGGGTTGAACACTTATTGACTCAAGACATTTCAGCTTTAAATGTTTTATTAATTTGGTGACATTTCTAAAAACAAAATTCCACTTTGACATTGTGGGAATCTTAATATAATTCATTTTAAATTCAGCCTGTAACACCACAAAATGTGGAAAAATTGTGCAGCTCTCTCTCTCTCGCTCTCTCTAAGAGGCGTAGTGCTTATATGTCAATTAACGTACAGTGAGGGAAAAAAGTATTTGATCCCCTGCTGATTTTGTACGTTTGCCCACTGATAAAGAAATGATCAGTCTATAATTTTAATGATAGGTTTATTTGAACAGTGAGAGACAGAATAACAACAAAATAATCCAGAAAAACGCATGTCAAATCAAATCAAATCAAATCAAATCAAATTTTATTGGTCACATGCGCCGAATACAACAGGTGCTGACATTACAGTGAAATGCTTACTTACAGCCCTTAACCAACAGTGCATTTATTTTAAACAAAAAAGTAAGAATAAAACAACAACAAAAAAGTGTTGAGAAAAAAAGAGCAGAAGTAAAATAAAGTGACAGTAGGGAGGCTATATATATAGTAAAATAAAGTGACAGTAGGGAGGCTATATATACAGGGGGGTACCGTTGCATAGTCAATGTGCGGGGGCACCGGCTAGTTGAGGTAGTTGAGGTAATATGTACATGTGGGTAGAGTTAAAGTGACTATGCATAAATACTTAACAGAGTAGCAGCAGCGTAAAAAGGATGGGGTGGGGGGGCAGTGCAAATAGTCCGGGTAGCCATGATTAGCTGTTCAGGAGTCTTATGGCTTGGGGGTAGAAGCTGTTGAGAAGTCTTTTGGACCTAGACTTGGCACTCCGGTACCGCTTGCCGTGCGGTAGCATGTCAAAAATGTTATAAATTGATTTGCATTTTAATAAGGGAAATAAGTATTTGACCCCCTCTCAATCAGAAAGATTTCTGGCTCTCAGGTGTCTTTTATAGAGGTAACGAGCTGAGATTAGGAGCACACTCTTAAAGGGAGTGCTCCTAATCTCAGCTTGTTACCTGTATAAAATACACCTGTCCACAGAAGCAATCAATCAATCAGATTCCAAACTCTCCACCATGGCCAAGACCAAAGAGCTCTCCAAGGAAAAGATTGTAGACCTACACAAGGCTGGAATGGGCTACAAGGCCATCGCCAAGCAGCTTGGTGAGAAGGTGAAAACAGTTGGTGCGATTATTCGCAAATGGAAGAAACACAAAAGGACTGTCAATCTCCCTCGTCCTGGGGCTCCATGCAAGATCTCACCTCGTGGAGTTGCAATGATCATGAGAACGGTGAGGAATCAGCCCAGAGCTACACGGGAGGATCTTGTCAATGATCTCAAGGCAGCTGGGACCATAGTCAAAGAAAACAATTGGTAACATACTACGCCGTGAAGGACTGAAATCCTGCAGCGCCCGCAAGGTCCCCCTGCTCAAGAAAGCATATATCCAGTCCCGTCTGAAGTTTGCCAATGAACATCTGAATGATTCAGAGGAGAACTGGGTGAAAGTGTTGTGGTCAGATGAGACCAAAATCGAGGTCTTTGGCATCAACTCAACTCGCCGTGTTTGGAGGAGGAGGAATGCTGCCTATGACCCCAAGAACACCATCCTCACGTCAAACATGGAGGTGGAAACATTATGCTTTGGGGGTGTTTTTCTGCTAAGGGGACAGGACAACTTCACTGCATCAAAGGGACGATGGACGGGGCCATGTACCGTCAAATCTTGGGTGAGAACCTCCTTCCCTCAGTCAGGGCATTGAAAATGGGTCGTGAATGGGTATTCCAGCATGACAATGACCCAAAACACACGGCCAAGGCAACAAAGGAGTGGCTCAAGAAGAAGCACATTAAGGTCCTGGAGTGGCATAGCCAGTCTCCAGACCTTAATCCCATAGAAAATCTGTGGAGAGAGCTGAAGATTCGAGTTGCCAAACGTCAGCCTCGAAACCTTAATGACTTGGAGAAGATCTGCAAAGAGGAGTGGGACAAAATCCCTCCTGAGATGTGTGCAAATCTGGTGGCCAACTACATGAAACGTCTGACCTCTGTGATTGCCAACAACGGTTTTGCCACCAAGTACTAAGTCATGTTTTGCAGAGGGGTCAAATACTTATTTCCCTCATACATTTTTTTGTTGTTAATCTGACTCTCTCTGTTCATATAAACCTACCATTAAAATTATAGACTGATCATGTCTTTGTCAGTGGGCAAACGTACAAAATCAGCAGGGGATCAAATACTTTTTTCCCTCACTGTATATGGGTGGTATAGCTGTTGATTGTGTTTTAAATTGGGGGAGAGCAGAAATGTGGATACTTTGAGCTAATTAGCCGGTTAGGATACAACGATAATTAGCTTGGTAGGGCACTCAAATATTGTGCAGAATATTATGTTTCATGTACTGTCAGTATTATACCTGTGATGGAGCATTTTCATTGGCTGATGCAGGTGCTTGATTCTATAGCTGGCTTTACTAGTCTTCCCTGTGTGATGACATCATTAATGGTGGCTTTTAAAGAGTCCCAGTAATGTGTGTGCTTTCCAGTGGCTTTATACAGTGGGGGAAAAAAGTATTTAGTCAGCCACCAATTGTGCAAGTTCTCCCACTTAAAAAGATGAGAGAGGCCTGTAATTTTCATCATAGGTACACGTCAACTATGACAGACAAATTGAGAATTTTTTTCTCCAGAAAATCACATTGTAGGATTTTTAATGAATTTATTTGCAAATTATGGTGGAAAATAAGTATTTGGTCACCTACAAACAAGCAAGATTTCTGGCTCTCACAGACCTGTAACTTCTTCTTTAAGAGGCTCCTCTGTCCTCCACCCGTTACCTGTATTAAAGGCACCTGTTTGAACTTGTTATCAGTATAAAAGACACCTGTCCACAACCTCAAACAGTCACACTCCAAACTCCACTATGGCCAAGACCAAAGAGCTGTCAAAGGACACCAGAAACAAAATTGTAGACCTGCACCAGGCTGGGAAGACTGAATCTGCAATAGGTAAGCAGCTTGGTTTGAAGAAATCAACTGTGGGAGCAATTATTAGGAAATGGAAGACATACAAGACCACTGATAATCTCCCTCGATCTGGGGCTCCACGCAAGATCTCACCCCGTGGGGTCAAAATGATCACAAGAACGGTGAGAAAAAATCCCAGAACCACACGGGGGGACCTAGTGAATGACCTGCAGAGAGCTGGGACCAAAGTAACAAAGCCTACCATCAGTAACACACTACGCCGCCAGGGGCTCAAATCCTGCAGTGCCAGATGTGTCCCCCTGCTTAAGCCAGTACATGTCCAGGCCCGTCTGAAGTTTGCTAGAGTGCATTTGGATGATCCAGAAGAGGATTGGGAAGAATGTTCATATGGTCAGATGAAACCAAAATATAACTTTTTGGTAAAAACTCAACTCGTCGTGTTTGGAGGACAAAGAATGCTGAGTTGCATCCAAAGAACACCATACCTACTGTGAAGCATGGGGGTGGAAACATCATGCTTTGGGGCTGTTTTTCTGCAAAGGGACCAGGACGACTGATCCGTGTAAAGGAAAGAATGAATGGGGCCATGTATCGTGAGATTTTGAGTGAAAACCTCCTTCCATCAGCAAGGGCATTGAAGATGAAACGTGGCTGGGTCTTTCAGCATGACAATGATCCCAAACACACCGCCCGGGCAATGAAGGAGTGGCTTCGTAAGAAGCATTTCAAGGTCCTGGAGTGACCTAGCCAGTCTCCAGATCTCAACCCCATAGAAAATCTTTGGAGGGAGTTGAAAGTCCGTGTTGCCCAGCGACAGCCCCAAAACATCACTGCTCTAGAGGAGATCTGCATGGAGGAATGGGCCAAAATACCAGCAACAGTGTGTGAAAACCTTGTGAAGACTTACAGAAAATGTTTGACCTGTGTCATTGCCAACAAAGGGTATATAACAAAGTATTGAGAAACTTTTGTTATTGACCAAATACTTATTTTCCACCATAATTTGCAAATAAATTCATTAAAAATCCTACAATGTGATTTTCTGGATTATTTTTTCTCATTTTGTCTGTCATAGTTGACGTGTACCTATGATGAAAATTACAGGCCTCTCTCATCTTTTTAAGTGGGAGAACTTGCACAATTGGTGGCTGACTAAATACTTTTTTCCCCACTGTACGTATCTCATAAGATCATACTCTATATAGCAGGGATCATCAACTAGATTCAGCTGCGGGCCGATTTGGAACATAATTACGCTTAATTTGTAGACTGCGAATTGACCGCAAGAATTCCTAACATATATAATATTTGACTAAAACATAATTTCAAACCTTGCTTACGTTTGTATACGATCATGTGTCTCTCTATTATGTGTGGAATAGTTGGGAACAGATTTCTTAAATAAAAATCACTTGGATCTGATTTCCTGGTGTTGTTATGGTCTTTTATGTCCAACAATGACAATGCTAATCCAGTTTGGGAACCCTGCTATATAGGATGTGTGTAGGATTTTGATTTGGGCTGTATTGTTGACTGTTGGTTTGACATCATCAAAAGTGGCCATGGTACAATTGTGAACTTATATGTGTTAATAGAAACCTCCCCCAGCTTCTGTAGCACTACAATCTTATCCCAGACTAGATTCTCTCCATAGAACTGTAACTGAACAGAATAGTCTTTTGTGTGTTTTAAGGTGGCAGTAGAAAGCACTCTCTCAGACAGAGCAAGTGGGTCGATATCAAACACAGTGCCAACAGCAGAAACTCTTTGTTTTTCCATTCTTCTGTGGCTGAAAGATGGATGCAGGCTTTAAGTCGGTCTTTATTTCAACTGAATGTACTGAGCACTCAAGAGCATTGTACTCAGCTAGCTGGTATAGAAGTGGGTGTGTGTGTGTCTCTGTGTGTGTGTGTGCAGAGCTCTGTAAAACAACACAGTAATTGAACAATTAGGCCTATCACAATGAGCCTACATTTCCTCATCCAACAATTTGCATATACTGTATATCTTTTTTTTTGTATATGTCTGCCAGAAATGTACGAAAATGGACATTCTCCTTCTGACAACAGAAAACAAGAAATGAGTTGTCTCCTGTGAATGACAATGCTTTTCTTTGCAACACTTCACTCGCTGTAGATAGACAATAAGATTAAACAGCATGTGGTTTGAGAGGTAGATAGAAAGGGAGACAGGGCACAACACAATATATTGTTCTTGTTCAACAGAGATTAAGAAAGAGAGATTTCTCTGAGTGAAAGTGCCTGAGAACATGCTAGCTGAATGTGATGGGAAACGTGTGTGTGTGAATGTATTTGTGAACATGTATTGATTTAAGATAATAAAGGAAACTTCCGTAGGGCGTTGGGCCACCCATGAGCCAGAACAGCTTCAATGCACGTTGGCATAGATTCTAAAAGTGTCTGGAACTCTATTGGAGGGATACAACACCATTCTTCCACAAGAAATTCCATAATTTGGTGTTTTGTTGATGGTGGTGGAAAACACTGTCTCAGGCGCCGCTCCAGAATCTCCCATAAGTGTTCAATTGGGTTGAGATCTGGTGACTGAGACGGCCATGGCATATGGTTTACATCGTTTTCATGCTCATCAAACCATTCAGTGACCACTCGTGCCCTGTAGATGGGGGCATTGTCATCATATGGGGGCATAGCCATGGTATCCAAAATAACCCTAAGCATGATGAGATGTTAATTGCTTAATTAACTCAGGATCCAGCACCTGCTTTCAATATACATTGTATCCCTCATTTACTCAACGGTTTCCATTATTTTGGCAGTTACCTGTATATGTATTGTTGAGCTGAGGAGCCTTTCCCTCTTCCTCTCTTACAGTGTCTTCTCTTTTCAGACACACATCTCTCTCTCTCTTTCCCTCTCTCTCTCTATTTCTCTCACACACACACCCTCTCCCCCTGCGTGTTAACTAACTCTCTCTCTCCCCCTCTCTCCCTCTCCTCCAGATCTCATCTGATGCCGAGGCTGAAGGAGTCTCGCAGCCACGAGTCATTGCTCAGCCCCAGTAGTGCTGTGGAGGCCGTGGACCTCAGCATGGAGGACGAGGTGCTCATCAAACCTGTTCACAGCTCCATCCTCGGACAGGACTACTGCTTCGAGGTGAGGGTCAGAACACATGGAAACACACACAGACAGACACACAGATGCACATACAGTAAGCGCGCCCACAAGCATGCACTCACATACTCACAGCATCTAATTGAAGTCAGGGGCTGCAAATACGCAGACACACAAGTGCACAGACACGCTTGTATACACAAAATGTGCTTTATCCTGGGGAAATATATTTATTCAACGAGAGAGATACACACTAGAGACACATTCACTTGAACACACACCCACACAATACACCTGGCAAGGCCCTCTTCATTGAGAGCACACTCTCACATACACACACACACACACACCACAGGAGCACTGCCTTGAGATGAGCCTCAGTTAGCATACACACGCGCGCACACAGCAGGACCCCGGTTCCAAAACGAGCCCTGCTGGCAGTAGACACGGCACTGAGAGGAGAGGAGAGTGAGTGACAAAGCACTCCATGAGCGCTGTGTGAGCAGGCTGAGAGTTAAAAATAACCTGCCATTGTCTAGCGTGGACTGAAGAGGCCTTCACTGTTCTCTATCACCTTCATCGCACGACTCTCTCTCTCTCTCGCTCTCTCTTAGTTTTTTCTCGCATATGCGCTCTCTTTCTCTCTCTTTTTTTCTCTCTCTAGTATATTCTCTCTCTGTCTCTCTCTGGAATATTCTCTCTTTCTCTTGCATAGGCTATCTCTTTCTCTTTCGTTCTCTCTGATGTCCAATCACCACAGAGTGCTCTGTCCAATCATTCCTCTTTCAGCTCCACCAACCCTCTGTCAGACACCTCATCTCACCGCACAGAGTATGTGTGTGTAGTCTAATATTCGTATAATAATAATAATAATATAGTATGCCATTTAGCAGACGCTTTTATCCAAAGCGACTTACAGTCATGTGTGCATACATTTTTACGTATGGGTGGTCCCGGGGATCGAACCCACTACCCTGGCGTTACAAGCGCCGTGCTCTACCAATTGAGCTACAGAGGACCACGTCAACCAAGATACGATTAGCTGTACAATAGTAAGGCATTTTTCCTTCTGATATACTCTATGTCCTGTGCCCTGTATCTGTTTTCCATGTATGAAGGACAGTAGTCACTGTGTTGTGTTTCTCTGTGTTTCAGGTCACCACCTCAACGGGAACTAAATGTTTCTCCTGTCGATCGTCAGCAGAAAGGGACAAATGGATGGAGAACCTGAGGAGAGCCGTCCACCCCAACAAGGTGAGACATGATTGAGCAAGTGTAGGTTCATAAAAAAAGAAATAGATGCTGACACACTGTTGGAGCCTCCTGTTGTGTTAACCAGACAACGTTGCACCAGAAGGTCTTTGTCAGGCTTCTGACAAAGGAAGGGGATAATCTAGTTCAAGTACAGACAGAGACTGTCTGGATTCCAAACCTATAACTCACAACTCAACATGGGCCCTGGAAAGATAGCAAGTGACCTAATTGGAACTGAGCCATTGAGTCAGACATTTAGACAGAGACAGTTCAATCATCCACACTGTCTGGGATACAGTATGGTACATCTGCAGTGGTGTGATGGCCCTCCCAGTGAGACAGAGAGGCAGAGCCGTAAAGGGACACAGTCAGAACAGTCACCAGACTGCCAGTGTCAAACAGAGGGCCCAACGCACATGTTCCCCTCTGTCGCTTTCCTCTTGGCTCAACACTTTTTCTTAAATCACAACAGCGCAGAAAGACGGCAGGCGAACGGCTGACATATGGCTCCTCGCGTCAAGCCCCAAAATAATGCAAATCTGACAGCACTCTCCCGCTTTCATCTTTCTTTATTTAGCAAATGACTTGCTAATTAGAACTTTAAGGAAAAAGTTTGGCTTTAATCAGGTTGTTTTTTTTTCTTCTCAAAATACTCTCTTGGCACAGATATGAATCTTTCCATCTCAACCTCGCAGGTTTTTAATTATTTTGGGATTTTCCACAGATTGGATACAGTGTAAGTTTGCATGTTTGTCCGTAAACATCGAAGCTCTAAACAGACGTGAAGGCGTTTTTGAAACGACAAATGTGAAAGAAAGTCTTTGTAGTGGGTGTTAAATAACGTGTCATATACAAAACAGTCAGAAAGCCATTTGCAGAGTTCTATTCATGAGATAGTTATTTTTTTACTGGTTAAATTAAATTAGCTTAGCATAATGAACTGTTTTTACAGTTGAAGTCGGAAGTTTACATACACTTAGGTTGGAGTCATTAAAACTCGTTTTTCAACCACTCCACACATTTCTTGTTAACAAACTATAGTCTTGGCAAGTCGGTTAGGACATCTACTTTGTGCATGACACAAGTAATTTTTCCAACAATTGTTTACAGACAGATTATTTCACTTAAAATTCACTGTATCACAATTCCAGAGGGTCAGATGTTTACATACACTAAGTTGACTGTGCCTTTAAACAGCTTGGAAAATTCCAGAAAATGATGTCATGGCTTTAGAAGCTTCTGATAGGCTAATTGACATCAGTTGAGTCAATTGGAGGTGTACCTGTGGATGTATTTCAAGGACTACCTTCAAACTCAGTGCCTCTTTGCTTGACATCATGGGAAAATCAAAAGAAATCAGCCAAGACCTCAGACAAATTATTGTAGACCTCCAGAAATCTGGTTCATCCTTGGGAGCTATTTCCAAATGCCTGAAGGTACCACGTTCATCTGTACAAACAGTAGTATGCAAGTATAAACACCATGGGACCACACAGCCGTCATACCACTCAGGAAGGAGACGCGTTCTGTCTCCTAGAGATGAACGTACTTTGGTGCGAAAAGGGCATATCAATCCCAGAACAACAGCAAAGGACCTTGTGAAGATGCTGGAGGAAACAGGTACAAACGTATCTATATCCACAGTAAAACGAGTCCTATATCGACATAACCTGAAAGGCCGCTCAGCAAGGAAGAAGCCACTGCTCCAAAACCGCTATAAAAAAGCCAGACTGCGGTTTGCAACTGCACATGGGGACAAAGATTGTACCTTTTAGAGAAATGTCCTCTGGTCAAAAATAGAACTGTTTGGCCATAATGACCATCGTTATGTTTGGAGGAAAAAGGGGGTGCTTGCAAGCCAAAGAACACCATCCCTACCGTGAAGCACGGGGGTGGCAGCATCATGCTGTGGGGGTGCTTTGCTGCAGGAGGGACTGGTGCACTTCACAAAATAGATGGCATCATGAGGAAGGAAAATTATGTGGATATATTGAAGCAACATCTCAAGACATCAGTCAGGAAGTTAAAGCTTGGTCACAAATGGGTCTTCCAAATGGACAATGACCCCAAGCATACTTCCAAAGTTGTGGTAAAATGGCTTAAGGCCAACAAAGTCAAGGTATTGGAGTGGCCATCACAAAGCCCTGACCTCAATCCTATAGAAAATGTGTGGGCAGAACTGAAAAAGCGTGTGCGAGCAAGGAGGCCTACAAACCTGACTCAGTTACACCAGCTCTGTCAGGAGGAATGGGCCAAAATTCACCCAACTTATTGTGGGAAGCTTGTGGAAGGCTACCCGAAACGTTTGCAATTTAAAGGCAATGCTACCAAATACTAATTGAGTGTATGTAAACTTCTGACCAACTTGGAATGTGATGAAAGGAATAAAAGCTGAAATAAAAAATTATCTCTACTATTATTCTGACATTTCACATTCTTAAAATGAAGTGGTGATCCTAACTGACCTAAGACATGGAATTTTTACTAGGATTAAATGTCAGGAATTGTGAAAAACTGAGTTTAAATGTATTTGGCTAAGTTTATGTAAACTTCCGACTTCAACTGTAAATGCAGTAGATACCGTGTAGGCCCATTAATAATAATAATATGCCATTTAGCAGACGCTTTTATCCAAAGCGACTTACAGTCATGCGTGCATACATTTGTTTTTTTTTGTGTATGGGTGGTCCCGGGGATCGAACCCACTACCTTGGCGTTACAAGCGCCGTGCTCTACCAGCTGAGCTACAGAGGACCACATGTGCATTTTAATCAGCTATTGATCTACTTATTCATGTTTAACATTTTAATTGCCCATTATATGCTAAACTCCACCCACCCTCCCTGCACTCCAGTGAGTCAGCTTTAATCAAGCACACCTCAAGTATTTTAAAATATTTGAAATATGTTGCTGTTATTTTTCCTTTTTTGAAAGGCTCGGAAACTACAATGTTTACTGAGAGAAGCACCACATTCCCATAGAAAACTGCTAGTGGCACCAATATACCTGCATACTATTTGAGATATGTATTAGAGGTCTGGCTACCACTGACCCTAACCCCTCCTCTCCTCTCCCTCAAGTATTTGAAATTATTTGAGTTACAGTGAGTATTTACAAGAGTCTAGACCCAGGTCTGTGATCCATCCCTGTCCCTAACCCAGCCCTCCCTCTCTCTATCCCCACACAGGACAACAGCAGGCGGGTGGAGAACATGCTGAAGCTGTGGATAATCGAAGCCAAGGACCTTCCTGCCAAGAAGAAGTACTTCTGCGAGCTGTGTCTGGAAGACACCCTGTACGCCCGCACCACCTGCAAGCTCAAGACCGACAACGTCTTCTGGGGCGAGCACTTTGAGTTCAACAACCTCCCGGCCGTCAAAAGCATCACAGCCCACCTTTACAAGGACTCGGACAAGAAGAAGAAGAAAGACAAGAACAACTACATCGGACTGGTCAACATCCCTGTTGCCGCGGTGACGGGGAGGCAGTTTATGGAAAAGTGGTACCCTGTGAGCACGCCGACGCCCAATAAGGGTAAGACGCCAGGGCCCATGATCCGGATCAAGGCCCGCTACCAGAGCATGAACATCCTGCCTATGGAGATGTATAAGGAGTTTGCAGAGTACACCACCAACAACTACATGTTGCTGTGCTCTGTGCTGGAGCCTGGCATCAGTGTGAAGAACAAGGAGGAGATGGCTTCTGCCCTGATCCATATTCTACAGAGCACCGGCAAGGCCAAGGTAGGAACTATGTATGCACGCATGACTGTAAGTCGCTTTGGATAAAAGCATCCGCTAAATCAAATAGATTATTATTATATTAACAGGCAATCATAAAGATTACTCTTTCACATGCACATTTACTTTTATTTTACAAATGTTTTGGTTAAATACGCTGTCAATGTTTGCTGTCAAATACTTTGCTCAAGGTAGCAACTGCAACATCAGTGTTGGCTAAGTAAGGTCAATGTCTTTCATCCTCAACATGTAGGTATCAGAACAGCTTATGTTCTGTATTACAGTGGTATTCTGTGTCACCAAGTTCAAACTGAAGGCAAGTGAAGCCAATGAATGTGGTCAATCCTGACTAAATGCTTTTTAAAACTTTGACCTGGCCCAGCTGTATTAGCAGACCTAGAGGCCAGACAGGTGATTTCTTGTTCATTCAACAGAGTCTTGACATTTTCCTTTTAACCCTTAGTGGAGCAGGTGGCCTCATGTTAGTTCAACAGAGAAAGTATTATATCCCAAATTGCTGTTAATCCATCCTCAGTTCTCCTTAATTCACTCTCCTGCAGGGTTGTAAAGCTCAGAGATGTTTGGGATGGATGTTCAACACAACAGAACAGAAGTGCTGGTGTTAGCTTTTGTGTTATTAGGCCTAGATTAACTCGCTGCAGTCTTAGCATGTCTACATTAGTCCTTTTTAAGTCTACCACGACGGGGGGGCATTTTGGAGCCATTTTGGAGAGAGTATCTCTCATCCATGCAGCAGTCTACACTTTACCACACTGCTACACCCTCTCTCTCTCGCTCGCTCATGCTGTTTTACTGGTTATCTACTGCACTGCCTATCATGAGTCGTATGCACAACTCATTGGCTGCTGCCTCGGTAAGAGGAGGATTCTTTTCTCTTTTCTCTTTATGTTATTTTCCAGTTGCCAAGGACAACTTGAGCGTCAGCCAGCCAGGATGCTCTTGACATTGCCTCGTGAACCAAGCTTTGAAGCTCCCTGACTTTCTCCCTCTGACTTTAGAGTGAGATTGCCATGATGAACAATTAGTACTTAAGAGGTCCTGCAGTAGATTGTCGCTGTCCCTGCGCTGGGTTGGGTTCACACACACACACACACACACACACACACACACACACACACGTTACAAAGGTTCTATAGGTCTCTGGAGAGATGGTCACGCTGTTAATTAGACCTAATTAATTACAGTGTCCCTGAAAAGTGTTAAACTTTCGCCTCTCCCTTACCTCTCTCCTCCCTCCCTCCCTCCTCTTTCTCCCTTACCTCCTTCCTCCCTCTGCCTGTCGTCTTCCATGGAGACAGGTCATTAAACTTTAATACCAGCAGAGAGAAGCAGTTTCAAGGTTGATTTACACCGGGACGTCTTTATTGTCCCCACAAATCTATATGTTTGCTACATCACACAATCCCAACGGAAGTATTCCCTCATTCTCTCTACACATGTTTATTGCGAGCAGACTAATAATTGAAAAGCCAGTAATAGCTATTAAAGGGATAGACAGAATCAAATGGATACATTTAGCCTGTTCAAGAATGTATTGACTGATTAATTCAATTAAAGCTGTTTTCCATTTGGATGCTAGTTTGGTTGGCTTCAGCTAAGTGGTCAGACAAGAAAACTACCCTCCTTCTTCTAAAATGATTAAACTAATTATGCAGTACAGTTTCTTAGCTCTAGATTACCCTAAAATCTTAGGCTACATTCTTGATGGAGCACTACACAGATTGTAGCCCACAGCACCACAGCACACCCAAAATATTCCCAACTAATAGTTCCTATTATTAGACTATTATCAGACCCAGGCCTAATACTATGCTGTGTATATTCATATCCTGACTTCCGCTGTGTGGTTTGTCCTTTTTACAAGCTACATATTAAGCCTTGGGCCAAACTTCCCTCTGCTCTGCTCTAAGTTATTTTTAGGAATAACTTCATTTGCTGGCTGTTTTTTCATCCAAGTCTATGACTACTCTTTGGCCACAGCAACCGAATACATATCTACAAAATATTTGTCATCCACACAACATCTACATAATCCTTGAGTGGAACCCATCTGATTTTTCATTTAAAGGAATCTGCCATCTTATCTGGCCAACGATAGCATCTGGAGAGCCAAAGCTCATTTGGCTGGTTGTTTTTATTATCACATTCATTAACGTCTCTATATATTATGTCTGGCTGTTTTAGACCCCATCTTGTTTATTATTTAGTCTTGTGACTGTGCCGATGTAGCGTCTACAGAACAAGTCTAGACCTTTTGATCCTCTACCGGTCTATTTCTACTCACACATACACACAAGCTATTTCCAGTCCCTTCATCCCTTCACCCTGCTGTTGATTCTAATAATGCTGATGTGAAGTCAGTTGTGGTAACATTAGCAGCGTTAACCTAAGAAAGCGTGGAGACAAACTTTCCTCCGTGGTGCATAGCAATCAGCTGGGGAATTATGATTACAGTCACTGGGGTGAAGAGACGTGTCTACCACTTGCCCTGTCAGGGATAGAGTCTCTCTCTCTCTCTCTCTCTCTCTCTCTCTCTCTCTCTCTCTCTCTCTCTCTCTCTCTCTCTCGCACATAGGCTGTGTAGCCCCTCTCTCTCTGTTGATGTGTGTTGGGGTCTGGTTGGGGAGGGAGGAGGGGGAGGGGACTCTGGTGATTACAGTGTGGTTGGTTGTTAATAGCTGCTGCTGGTGCAGTTTCTTTAGGGGATGATGATAAACACAGTGTTTTCTTTTTTAACACCAAGGAGGATCTCCTTTAGTGCTCTCTCTCTCTCTCTCTCTCTCTCTCTCTCTCTCTCTCTCGCTAACACTCTCGCCCTCCCTCTCCCTCATATCCCCCTTCCTCTCTACAGTGAGGAAAAAAAGTATTTGATCCCCTGCTGATTTTGTACGTTTGCCCACTGACAAAGAAATGATCAGTCTATAATTTTAATGGTAGGTTTATTTGAACAGTGAGAGACAGAATAACAACAAAAAAATCCAGAAAAATGCATGTCAAAAATGTTATAAATTGATTTGCATTTTAATGAGGGAAATAAGAATTTAACTCCCTCTCAATCAGAAAGATTTCTGTCTCCCAGGTGTCTTTTATACAGGTAACGAGCTGAGATTAGGAGCACACACTTAAAGGGAGTGCTCCTAATTTCAGCTTGTTACCTGTATAAAAGACACCTGTCCACAGAAGCAATCAATCAATCAGATTCCAAACTCTCCACCATGGCCAAGACCAAAGAGCTCTCCAAGGATGTCAGGGACAAGATTGTAGACCTACAAGACCATCGCCAAGCAGCTTGGTGAGAAGGTGACAACTGTTGGTGCGATTATTGGCAAATGGAAGAAACACAAAATAACTGTCAATCTCCCTCGGCCTGGGGCTCCATGCAAGATCTCACCTCGTGGAGTTGCAATGATCATGAGAACGGTCAGGAATCAGCCCAGAACTACACGGGAGGATCTTGTCAATGATCTCAAGGCAGCTGGAACCATAGTCACCAAGACAACAATTGGTAACACACTACGCCGTGAAGGACTGAAATCCCGCAAGGTCCCCCTGCTCAAGAAAGCACATATCCAGGCCCGTCTGAAGTTTGCCAATGAACATCTGAATGATTCAGAGGAGAACTGGGTGAAAGTGTTGTGGTCAGATGAGACCAAAATCGAGCTCTTTGGCATCAACTCAACTCGCCGTGTTTGGAGGAGGAGGAATGCTGCCTATGACCCCAAGAACACCATCCCCACGTCAAACATGGAGGTGGAAACATTATGCTTTGGGGGTGTTTTTCTGCTAAGGGGACAGGACAACTTCACCGCATCAAAGGGACGATGGATGGGGCCATGTACCGTCAAATCATGGGTAAGAACCTCCTTCCCTCAGCCAGGGCATTGAAAATGGGTCGTGGATGGGGATTCCAGCATGACAATGACCCAAAACACATGGCCAAGGCAACAAAGGACTGGCTCAAGAAGAAGCACATTAAGGTCCTGGAGTGGCCTAGCCAGTCTCCAGACCTTAATCCCATAGAAAATCTGTGGAGCGAGCTGAAGGTTTGAGTTGCCAAACGTCAGGTTGGAAACCTTAATGACTTGGAGAAGATCTGCAAAGAGGAGTGGGACAAAATCCCTCTTGAGATGTGTGCAAACCTGGTGGCCAACTACAAGAAACGTCTGACCTCTGTGATTGCCAACAAGGGTTTTGCCACCAGGTACTAAGTCATGTTTTGCAGAGGGGTCAAATACTTATTTCCCTCATTAAAATGCAAATCAATTAATAACATTTTTGACATGTGTTTTTCTGGATTTTTTTGTTGTTATTCTGTCTCTCACTGTTCAAATAAACCTACCATTAAAATGTATAGACTGATCATGTCTTTGTCAGTGGGCAAACGTACAAAATCAGCAGGGGATCAAATACTTTTTTCCCTAATTGTATCTCTCCCTTTCTTGCTTTCTCTCTCTCCCTCCCTCCCTATCTCTATTCAATTCAATTCAATTTAAGGGCTTTATTGGCATGGGAATCATATGTGTGTACAGTGTACAGGCTTTCATCCTCTCTCTCTCTTTCTCTTTCTCTCTTTCTCTTTTTTTTAAGGGGCTGTATTGGCATGGGAAACATGTTGACATTGCCAAATAAACAAAAGTTAAATAAAAAGTAAAGATTAACAGTAAACATTACACTAGCAAAAGTTCCAAAAGAATAAAGACATTTCAAATGTCATATTATGGTCAAAAGTTAATGTACAAAAGGGAAGATAAATAAACATAAATAAGGGTTGTATTTACAATGGTGTTTGTTCTTCACTGGTTGCCCTTTTCTTGTGGCAACAGGTCACAAATCTTGCTGCTGTGATGGCACACTGTGGTATTTCACCCAATAGAAATGGGAGTTTATCAAAATTGGGTTTGTTTTTTGAATTCTTTGTGAGTCTGTGTAATCTGAGGGAAATATGTGTCTCTAATATGGTCATACATTTGGCAGGAGGTTAGGAAGTGCAGATCAGTTTCCACCTCATTTTGTGGTCAGTGTGCACATAGCCTGTCTTCTCTTGAGAGCCAGGTCTGCCTACGGCGGCCTTTCTCAATAGCAAGGCTATGCTCACAGAGTCTGTACATCGTCAAAGCTTTCCTGAAGTTTGGGTCAGGAATTCTGCCACTGTGTACTCTCTATTTAGGGCCAAATAGCATTCTAGTTTGCTCTGTTTTTTTGTTAATTCTTTCCAATGTGTCAAGTAATTATCTCTTTGTTTTCTCATGATTTGGTTGGGTCTAATTGTGTTGCTGTCCTGGGGCAACAGCCCAGACCTCACAACCATAAAGGGCAATGGGTTCTATTACTGATTCAAGTATTTTTAGCCAGATCCTAATTGGTATGTCAAATGTTATGTTCCTTTTGATGGCATAGAAGGCCCTTCTTGCCTTGTCTCTCAGATCGTTCACAGCTTTGTGGAAGTTACCTGTGGCGCTGATGTTTAGGCTGAGTTATGTATAGTTTTTTTGTGTGCTCTAGGGCAACGGTGGCTAGATGGAATTTGTATTTGTGGTCCTGGCAACTGGACCTTTTTTGGAACACCATTATTTTTGTCTTACTGAGATTTACTGTCAGGGCCCAGGTCTGACAGAATCAGTGCAGAAGATCTAGGTGCTGCTGTAGGCCCTCCTTGGTTGGGGACAGAAGCACCAGATCATCAGCAAACAGTAGACATTTGACTTCAGATTCTAGTAGGGTGAGGCCGGGTGCTGCAGACTGTTCTAGTGCCCTCGCCAATTCGTTGATATATATGTTGAAGAGGGTTGGCTTAGGCTGCATCCCTGTCTCACCCCACAGCCCTGTGGAAAGAAATGTGTGTGTTTTTTGCCAATTTTAACCGCCACTTGTTGTTTGTGTACATGGATTTTATAATGTCGTATGTTTTCCCCCCAACACCACTTTCCATCAATTTGTATAGCAGACCCTCATGCCAAATTGAGTCAAAAGCTTTTTTGAAATCAACAAAGCATGAGAAGACTTTGCCTTTGTTTTGTTTTTGTTTTTTGTCAATTAGGTTGTGCAGGGAGAATACGTGGTCTGTCGTACGGTAATTTGTTAAAAAGCCAATTTGACATTTGCTCAGTATTTTGTTTTCACTGAGGAAATGTACGAGTCTGCTGTTAATGATAATGCAGAGGATTTTCCCAAGGTTGCGGTTTATGCATATCCCACGGTAGTTACCCTTTTGTGGATTGGGGTGAATAGTCAGAGCTAAGGATGATGTTAAAGAGTTTAAGTATAGCCAATTGGAATTTGTGGTCTGTATATTTTATCATTTCATGGAGGATACCATCAACACCACAGGCCTTTTTGGGTTGAAGGGTTTGTATTTTGTCCTGTAGTTCATTCAACATTTCTCTCTCTCTCTCTCTCTCTCTCTCTCTCTCTCTCTCTCTCTCTCTCTCTCTCTCTCTCTCAATTCAAGGGGCTTTATTGGTATGGGAAACATATGTTTACATTGCCAAAGCAAGTGAAATAGATAATAAACTGCAACGCTCTCCCTTCCTCTCTATCTCTCCCTCTCTCGCGTTCTCTTTCTCCCTCTCTCTCTCTCATGCCTCAGTACGTTCTAAGGCTAGGGATGTTTGAGGGGATGTCATTGATGGTTCTGTATCGCCATCCACCCGGACGCCTTGGTTGTCACGGCAGTCACACAATGCTGTAGGCCCGGGGATGACAAACACACACACACTCACTCACACATCATAAGACATCAGAGGTGTAGTTGGGAGGTCATTCCTTTGTGTTTATGCATGAGGAAGACTTGTAATTGTTGAGAATGTTCCAGAAAACACAAGGTCAGAGTGCTTCTCTCTCCACACCTTTATACATCTTTCCATCCCTTCCCTCAGGCAGCTTGTTCCACTCTCTGACCCAACCAGCATCTCAGTGCATTCACACAGCAGCGTTAGCCGCAGCACACAAACATCAACAACAACAAGACGTCATTTTGTTGGGGTGCCTCCAAGCAGCATTCTCAGCATCCACTTTTCTGTTGGTGAAAATGACTTCGTAAACACTATTGATTTGAGTCTTCTTCTCCAGCCCGTTGTGGTAAGTAGGAAGAAGGCGCCTTGTCTTGTAGAGGCTATTCAGGGCCTCATCTGAGTCCTAATGACTTTTGGGAATTATTTATACTTATGGAGTATAGAGCTCAGCTGGCCACAGAGAACAGAAAGCAGAGAGGTGGTGTCTGCTTCTGCTGTTATTGTTTCTGTTTTACTGCTCCTGGAGGTAAATGAAACTAACATACGGTATTAAGTGGCCCTTCATCCACAGAGGCGACAGTCAGATAACAAATTTGCCCTCCCTCCCTGTTCCATCTCTCCATCCTCCTCTCCTTCGCCCCCAAGCAGCAGCGTTCTCATTATTGAATTAGATGAAGTGCAAACATCCCCTCTTCTTGCTCAGCGCTCAATTTGGTCTTTGCGGGGCAGCAGCAATGCTAGCCTGCATGATTCATCGATTCAAACCTGCTGTGTGCAATCGCCACACAGATGAACACACACCCTGCTAATGAGTGTCTCAGTGCACAAGACGGTTTTCTTGGATGCTTGTTGCAGACAGCTACTTGGTCTTTAAAAGTGCTCTTGTTTTGCTACTGATTCTTTAAGCTCTGGGTGGGAGATTGTTATTGTTTATAGTGGGTGAGGAGAGAGTATGGTTGTGATGATTGGGATGTTATGAAGGCCAGGACCAGTGAGAGGTGATGGAGAGGCCATCAGACAGACAGACTCCTCAGAGCCCAGCGTGTGACTGGGTGACCCACTTGTGTCACATTGCTGTAAGCAGTCACCATGTCCCTCTCAGAGACTGCTATGCTGGGAGACACACACAGATGCCAGCCAATCACAAGCTGTGGTTCAGATGGGTCAAACCGGGGATGGATTTCAGCAGCTGGAGATGAATGGAAACCAAAATAAGAGAAAAAATAGAATTCTTAAAAAGATGTTCCTGTCATCATCTTTGCAATGCTTGCAGAATATAAACATACAGTATATTCCCACTTTGTTTCTGTATCTATGCTAGATAATTATTTATTTTGATAATCTCTCTGAAAACTGCCTTGACATATTCCTACCACAATGCTCTCTATACGGTTTATTTCTGTGATAGAGAGATACTGTGAATAGAGATGGAGAGAGGGGGAAAGAGAAAAAGGAATGACGAGGGGAAAAGGGAGTGATAGAGGAGAGGGGAAAAGGGTGTGATGGAGGAGAGGGGAAAAGGGAGTGATGGAGGAGAGGGGAAAGTGTAAGGAGATGACGGGATGATGAGGAGAGGCGGCCAGGGCGTGATGCGGATCGGGGGTAGTTCTCCGGCGCGGTCTTCCGGGCGCTGCTGCGCGCGGGGCCCACGTGCGTGCTCGGTGTCCGGGCCCCGGGCGTGCTGGCCGTCGGCGTGCTGCGCGCGGCGCCCGGGCGTGCTGGCGGCGGGGTCCCCGGGCGTGCTGGCGGCGGGCCCCGGCGTGCTGGCGGCGCGGGGCCCCGGGCGTGCTGGCGGCGGCGGGGCCCTGGGCGTGCTCGCGGCGCGGGGCCCCGGGCTTGCTGGCGGCGCGGGGCCCCGGGCGTGCTCGCGGCGCGGGCCCCCCGGAGTTGATAGAGGCCAAGCGGCAGTGATAGAGGGACAGATTGCATTAATTGTCAATTTGAGTTTATCCTTTCAGTCAAAGCTGGAACTGGGGAACCAACCAGCAATGGTCTGCAGGGGAAATAACCCCCCCCCCACCCCCCACCACCCAAATGATCCAGAACCTTCTTTGAAGTCACAACTGGCACAATATTACCCTCACAAAGAGAGACAAAGAAAATACACTCTCACACTCACACACAGCTTTGTTTTTGAGAATTTCCTGGACTTTGTGGGGAGTATTCTATTTTCCCTAACCCCTAAACCTAACCCTAACCCTTAACCTAACTCCTAACCATAACCCTAAACCTAACCCTTAAGGCTAAAATAGAATTTTAACAAATTCAGGACATGAAACAAGTCCTGACTTTTAAACAACAACAACAACAACAAATCCTACTTTGTCAGGACATTCTGGTCCTGAAAAGGTAGGAAAAACATGTACATATATACACGCACACACACACACACACACACACACACACACACACACACACACACACACACACACACACACACACACACACACACACACACACACACACACCATGGACATTTACAAAACAACATAAACACATACAGTACACCCCAAGGTACACACACACACACAAGGGCTCCCCCCCATATCTGCAAGGAGCTGATGACATTGCATGAAAGCCCTCCTCCAGCTATCAAAGTATTACAGTGTGTTTACAGCAGTGATGTGGAGAGGATTGGTCCTAGCTTCCTGTTGTTGTTCTGCTGTAAGGCTGACTGACACTAGGGCTACGGCCCAAGTAGTGCACTAGGGAATAAGATGCCTTTTGGGACACAGCCTCACTCTGTGCCTGTGGGAAGACTGGGATCCATTTTCATCCCCAGCTAGCTCTCCCAGCTGACCCCATGTGGCCCACACAGGAAGAGCTAAAGGTTACTACTCTGTAATACAACGTACTATACCCTCCAGAGGAAGGGAGGGAGGGGTAGAGGAGAGTGGGAGGGAAGGAGAGAGGGAGAGAGGGGGGATAGATGAGAGAGTGATTGTGGTTTGAGTCCGCTCCCTAGAGTCTGAGCCTGAGGCTTCTAAACCAGGGTTATCGATCAGTCGAATCGTTGATGTAATCTCTTTTCTTCTCTCTACTTCCTCTCTTTTTTCCCCCCTTTTTTTTTTTTTTGTCCAATAGCTTGTCTTCCCTCGTTTATTGGAAAGGCTTCCTGTCTTGCCTTTGGGACTTTATGGTGTTGGCTATTAAACCCTGGACACACAAGTGTGTCTCTCTCACCCCCGAGCTCCTGAATATGTGAAAAGGGTCAACCACATACAAGGACAGGCCAATTTAAAGAGGGTGGAAGTGGTGAAGAAAAACAGGGCTGGGCGGTAAACCGTATTTTACTATATACTGGTATTAATGCATGGACCGGTTTGGATTTTTACTTTACCTTACATAACGGTATTTCAATGTCTGGTTTGTTAAATGTAATATAAATGTAATAACTGATTGATTATACTCAGGAAATTATGGCAGTCGTCCATTCTTACCACCAGTAAGAGAATGTAAACAGTTGAGAACTGCTCATATGCTAGCAAGAGCTTCAGGTTCCCACATGTACTTTTTTGCCATGAATCTTGCCTGTGAGGAAGTGCCCTAGAAATCAGCACAATGTGGCGAAAGTAAGAACTGCCATTGAATCCATTGAAAATAAATGGTCATAGAGGAGAATAATTATTCTGATAAAGGAAAAGTTACTTTTTCACAAAATAGAGGCATACAAACACCAAAAAAAATGTGGTACACTGTGGAAATTATAACAAATGAGTGAAGGAAATGCAGAAATTACTGAAAATGCTGTAAAATATTTTTTCTATTTGTTTATTTTACAATCAAAAGAGAGAAGGTCCCATTAAAACCACTTAGAATGACCTTAGGGCAATGCACTACTCAAGCATATTTAGAACTTGTATTATTCAAAAACATAAAATACAGTCAAATACCGTCATACCGTCAAAAATGAGAAAATATTGTGATATGATATGTTGGCCATATTGCCCAGCGCTAAAGGAAAATGCCAAGACACTCTCTCTCTCTCTCTCTCTCTCTCTCTCTCTCTCTCTCTCTCTCTCTCTCTCTCTCTCTCTCTCTCTGCAGAGAATGAAGGACTTATTTTATTATTTTTCTTTTCTTTTCTTTTCTGTGATAGCCGACATAATTTGACGCTCCAATCAAACACGAGAACGGAATGTGCTCTGTATTCTGCGGGTCAGAGTATATTCAGTGTGTGTGTGTGTGTGTGTGTGTGTGTGTTATGTCAGTGTTTTGTAACGAGATGTATTGAATAGGTACAGCTGACGCAGGCAATGTCGAAGTCCTGAATTCTTCAGCTATCTTTTTTGTATCCAGCTCCTGTTAATGTTGGTATGTACACACTAAAAAATAATGGTTCTAAATAGTACCAGAAAGGGGTTCTTTGGCTTGTAATCTTAGCAGAACCCTTTTTTGTGCTATATACTGTAGAACCCTTTTTTGAAGTTTCAATAAAGAACCATGCTCATAAAGTTCTAAATGGAACCTGTATGGTGCTATAAATAAACCTTTCCTAAGGCTCTATAAAGAACCATTAAAAAAGGTTCTATATATAGCACAAGAAAAAAGGTAGCGCTATGGTTACAACCCTTTTTGGGGCTATATAGAACCCTTTTTAATGTTTTTTTATAGAACCTTTATGGAGAATGGTTCTATAAAGAACCTTTACAGAACCATTTCTCAATCTGAAAGGTTCTTTGTAGATCCTATTGAAGAACAATACGTTTTTTTTTATTCTGGTAAGCCATATTATATTGTTAAAATTCCATAGGTGTTATTACTGTGTTAATTGACAAGGTGAATCAAGTGGACTACCTCTGGAACAGCTGGGAGTCCCTGAGGAGAGAATTGAGAACCACTAACTGATTTAGACAACCGTTCTCAAGTAACACAAGGCTATACATGAGTCTTTCACAAGACACCGTCACTGGCCATACTTATAATATGGAATGGCATAACACAACACATTAGATAAACTGGAATGACACTCTAACTCACGGTTGCACAAAAAGAGCTGTATATTCGAATGAGCCGCCACCCCCATTTTAATTATCACTAAAAGAGCAAAGAACCCTTTTGAGTGAACTGTAAAGAACCATTGAAGAGCTCAAAAGGTTATTTGAGTAATTATTGTTCCACATAGAACCATCACCCTTCCCAAAGAACCCTTGAGGAACTATCATTTTTTTAGTGTGTAACACTATCTTTGTATTGGTAGTTTTGTCCTCAAGTGACTCTCAGGCCTCTGTTCCTTTGAGTAGCACTCGGGAGGAAGGATGGATTCATGAGAGAAATATTGTTTCTGTGGCCTTTCAACCTCTGACCTCAGGGATTTGTCATTGTTCAGTGGTGATGGAGAGACTCTTAATGGGAAGGGGAAACAAGAAACACTTTCGCCCCAGCAAACAAGCACCAGCATACACACACACACACACGCACACAGACTCTCTCTATCACACACACATCTGCTGTCTCACTACTGCCCCAGAGAAAACACAAGAAAGCTGAGCTCTGAAGTGCTGTCACACACACACACCACGCACACACACCCCTGGGATGGACAAGGCTTTATGAGTTAGGTGATGCCAGGTAAGAGAGTCTGCAGGGAGACTCTGGAGTTCTGCTGGAGTTTGATCTCTTATATCTCTTTCATACCAAGACGAAAACCCGCCAACTTAACCATGCCATTTTCTTTTTTGAAGCCGGTACTTCAATTTCCGCCAAGGGAGGTAGACATGATTGCGGTATTAAATGGTAGAAAATATGCCAACTTTTTATTTATCATAACAGGAAAATTACAAGGTAATAGTTTTTTTTACAAGTATGACGCGCTAAAAATAGCTAACAGTAAGTTGTGAATGTGAAGAAATGATAGCAGTGCATTCTGTCTGAGTTTGATCTCTTATCTCTTTCATACCAAGACGAAAACCCGCCAACTTAACCATGCCATTTTCTTTTTTGAAGCCGGTACTTCAATTTCCGCCAAGGGAGGTAGACATGATTGCGGTATTAAATGGTAGAAAATATGCCAGGGGGGAAAAGTTTGTGCAACAATGCGCAAATGTCTGCATACTTGATCTGGGGAAACACTGGGGAAGTGCTTGGGCTCTAGTCGAAGAGTGAAGTTTGTCCGGCTCAGTAAAGCCTCAAACATAAATTGCAACAGTGAAATGGGATACTTCTATGTGAATTAATGAGGAGACAGAACACACCTCAATTCAAACTGTTGTTAGAAAATAAAACTTGTAAGAAAATATTTTTAAATTAACAAGTTGAAACATAGCCTATAGATAATTAGCAGGCAGCGTGTCTTGGTTTGAGGGCAGTGCGGGTTAACTGTCCTGTTGCGTAACGATCACATTTTGGAACAGTGAGTACATTCTGATATCACGCGCATAAAAAAACTCACGCTGGGGTGACCGTTAGAGATATTTGGAACTCACATGTGAAAAGGTTAAATCATGAACATTCTATTGTTGTCCGACATCAAACTTGTCCTTGTAGTTATGAAAAAGTATAAACACAAAAACGGCAGTCTGCATGACATCGCAGCTTCCTGGCCAAATAGCAACTTTACCTGATATTTTTTTCCAAATCTAATTAGGACATGTAAATTAACCAAAAGGCAACTAAAAGCAACTTTCTAGACAATGGTTTGGTTCATTGCAAGCTATCTAGCTGGATAGCCAGCTCATAATTACCAGAACATATCTGACAATGTTTTGAGTTTAACTGTAGCCAACTTTTTATTTATCATAACAGGAAAATTACAAGGTAATAGTTTTTTTTACAAGTATGACGCGCTAAAAATAGCTAACAGTAAGTTGTGAATGTGAAGAAATGATAGCAGTGCATTCTGTCTGAGAAATGTAGAACTTAATCAATGCTGGGATAGTCAGGTTACCATGACAATGGTCACAAAAACAGGGTCAAAGTTGAATGTCTCTTGCTCCCAGCCCTCCCCGTTGCCGGCTAAGCACTGGATGTATAAATGACAAATGACAACAAGAAAGAGGTAAAAATGGGACTGTTTGAAAGGGGATCATATCAACTTTATTTATTTATTTACAGGCAACACACCGTGAATCCTTTGTAAATTAGGTAATAGACTTCTTCTCACCTCTTTCCCTGTCCTCCCTCCCGCCTCTCCTCCATTTATTAACTCTGATCTGTTGAGCTGCACTTTCTTCTCTGGCTCACTCATCTCCTTCCCCCCCCCCCCTCTCTCTCTCTCTCTCTCTCTCCTCCCCCTCCCTCTTCACTCCCTCCTTCCTGTCTCCCTCCTGTCTCTCTGTATGGGAGGTGGTGGTGGTAGTGAGGTATAGTCTGGGTGATGGGATGTGACAGTAATATAGAAAGTGTCCCGCTTTTCCTCATTAGCACTGAAGCGAGGGAGGAGGGGGGCGGGCCGGAGGAGAGAGCGAACGAGGGAGGAGTGGTGGAGAGAGAGGGGGGAGGGGGGGTTGGAGCTCTTTTTAGGACCTTGTCTCAGAGTATTAGAGAGGCAGAGTGGGGTTCCTAATAATACTCTGTTATGAGACTGGTCTCAGCTGGCCTTGTGATTACACACACATGTTCACACCCGCGTTCACACACACACACACACACACACACACACAGACTGCCCTACCAAAGGTTTCTGTATTCCTTGAGCATTGCTAGTCCATTCTAAGAACAACATGATTTAGATTAATCACAGCCCTGTTGCTAAGCTAGGATCAGACCATAGCATGTGTTGAACAGGTTCTGTTTTTATCCAGCATCCCTGTCTAACCCAGTCAGTACATTACTGGGTGAGTAGAGGGGTCATAGTTTGCTCCTGAGACACTGAATCTAAGCTACATGCCCCCCTCTCTCTCTCCCTCTTTCTTCCGTTCTCTGCACCCCCTCCCCTTTCTCATCCCCCTCTTTCTCTTCTGCCTTTGCTTTCTCATCTATCTCCTCTCTAATCGGTTATGAATTTGCCAGATAAGGCGATAAAGGGAAGAAAAAGGAAAGGGGTGGAGGGCAGACAGAGGAGGGAGGGAGATAGAGGGGTGGAGGTTGGAGAAGAGATCATAATTGGGCTGACATTCTCCCGGGTTAAAGAAAAGAGAAGAACCCCTAGTCTAATGGTTGGCCGGGTGGCTGCCCATCCACGCAGGAAAGGTCAGGTATCCTCAGGCTACCTTGTGTGTGTGTGTGATCACTTATCCCTGCCAATTACCCCAGCAGCGGCTTGACCATTGTCACACCACCCAGAGATGTGCTGCTGCTGTGTGTTTGTGTGTGTGTGGTAAAAGTCTCTCTTTTTGCTTCACATCGAGCTCTCTGATTGGCTTCCTGCTGCTAGGCTTTGATTTTCTGGGATAACATACTTAGAACCCTTTTCTCTTATTTCTGTCTGACTTGCTTTCTCTCTCTTTCTCCAAATTCTCTCTCTCTCACTCTCTCCTCTCTTTCTCCCTCTGTCTCTTCTCTGCCGCTCTCTCTTTCCTCATCTGTTCTTTAAAGACTACGGTACCACACTGTTTCTTCTCCTCTCTCCTCTCTTTCTACATCTGTCTCTTCTCTCCTCACCCTGCTGGCGTTCTCTGGTTAACAAGATGTCCAGGGACTTCACGGCCCTGTCATTTTCAGAGAGTTATTAAGATTTCTCGTTATTCCCTATGTGTGTCGCAGATACTTGGTTACAATTGAGTCACAAAATGGACATAACGGCATATTAGTTTGGTAAACTGCACACTGGCTGCATATCTAGGCTGTATCTGAAATGGCCCCATATTCCCTATTGGCCCTGGTCAAAAGTAGTGCACTATATAGGAAATAGGGTTCCATTTCAGAGGCAGCCTGCTTCCTGCTCTCATAGTATCTGGTTTGAGTGAGGTTCTGGAAGTGTTTAGGAAGTGTTTGCCAGGGCCATATGGGAGGGACCAGGAGGGTCCATGATATCTTTTCCTCTTCCCAGTTTTCCAATTATCCCTGGCCATGCAGATCCCAGCACATTTCACAGATCGACACACACGCTCCTCACACTAAACTGGGCTCACCACACACACACACACATACACACACGCAAATTCCCTCAACGAACAGCCCTGCTGCCACAGGCCATTTAGCCATCACCCACCCACAGTCATGTGCTAATAGCTCTACGCTTGTCCAGTAGAATGGTCCTGAGTTAGGTTAGTTAATACTGAATGGCTTTTGTTATTGATTTCGATATACAGTCGTGGTCAAAAGTTTTGAGAATTACACAAATACTAATTTTCACAAAGTCTGCTGCCTCAGTTTTGATGATGGCAATTTGCATATACTCCAGAATGTCATGAAGAGTGATCAGATGAATTGCAATTAATTGCAAAGTCCCTCTTTGCCATGAAAATGAACTTAATCCCCCAAAAAACATTTCCACTGCATTTCAGCCCTGCCACAAAAGGACCAGCTGCCATCATGTCAGTGATTCTCTTGTTAACACAGGTGTGATTGTTGACAAGGACAAGGCTGGAGATCACTCTGTCATGCTGATTGAGTTAGAATAACAGACTGGAAGCTTTAAAAGGAGGGTGGTGCTTGAAATCATTGTTCTTCCTCTGTTAACCCTGGTTACCTGCAAGGAAACACGTGCCATCATCATTGCTTTGCACAAAAAGGGCTTCACAGGCAAGGATATTGCTGCTAGTAAGATTGCACCTAAATCAACCATTTATCGGATCATCAAGAACTTCAAGGAGAGAGGTTGAATTGTTGTGAAGAAGGCGTCATGGCGCCCAAGAAAGTCCAGCAAGTGCCAGGACCGTCTATTAAAGTTGATTCAGCTGCGGGATCGGGGCACCACCAGTGCAGAGCTTGCTCAGGAATGGCAGCAGGCAGGTGTGAGTGCATCTGCACTCACAGTGAGGCGAATACTTTTGGAGGATGGCCTGGTGTCAAGAAGGGCAACAAAGAAGCCACTTTTCTCTAATGAATCCCCTTTCCGATTGTTTGGGGCATCCGGAAAATACCTTGTCCGGAGAAGACAAGGTGAGCGCTACCATCAGTCCTGTGTCATGCCAACAGTAAAGCATCCTGAGACCATTCATGTGTGGGGTTGCTTCTCAGCCAAGGGAGTGGGCTCACTCACAATTTTGCCTAAGAACACAGCCATGAATAAAGAATGGTACCAACACATCCTCCGAGAGCAACTTCTCCCAACCATCCAAGAACAGTTTGGTGACGACCAATGCCTTTTCCAGCATGATGGAGCACCTTGCCATAAGGCAAAAGTGATAACTAAGTGGATCGGGGAACAAAACATCGACATTTTGGGTCCATGGCCAGGAAACTCCCCAGACCTTAATCCCATTTGAGAACTTGTGGTTGATCCTCAAGAGGCGGGTGGACAAACAAAACCCCACAAATTCTGACAAAGCATTGATTATGCAAGAATGGGCTGCCATCAGTCAGGATGTGGCCCAGAAGTTAATTGACAGCATGCCAGGGCGGATTGCAGAGGTCTTGAAAAAGAAGGGTCAACACTGCAAATATTGACTCTTTGCATAAACTTAATGTAATTGTCAATAAAAGCCTTTGACACATATGGAATGCTTGTAATTATACTTCAGTATACCATAGTAACATCTGACAAAAATATCTCATAACACTGAAACAGCGAACTTTGTGAAGACCAATACTTGTGTCATTCTCAAAACTTTTGACCACGACTGTACAGTTGAAGTCGGAAGTTTACATACACCTTAGCCAAATACATTTAAACTCAGTTTTTCACAATTCCTGACATTTAATCCTAGTAAAAATTCCATGTTTTAGGTCAGTTAGAGGATCACCACTTTATTTGAAGAATGTGAAATGTCAGAATAATAGTAGACATAATTATTTATTTCAGCTTTTATTTCTTTCATCACATTCCCAGTTGGTCAGAAGTTTACATACACTCAATTAGTATTTGGTAGCATTGCCTTTAAATTGTTTAACTTGGGTCAAATGTTTCGGGTAGCCTTCCACAAGCTATCCACAATAAGTTGGGTGAATTTTGGCCCATCCTCCTGACAGAGCTGGTGTAACTGAGTCAGGTTTGTAGGCCTCCATGCTCGCACACGCTTTTTCAGTTCTGCCCACACATTTTCTATAGGATTGAGGTCAGGGCTTTGTGATGGCCACTCCAATACCTTGACTTTGTTGTCCTTAAGCCATTTTGCCACAACTTTGGAAGTATGCTTGGAGTCATTGTCCATTTGGAAGACCCTTTTGCGACCAAGCTTTAACTTCCTGACTGATGTCTTGAGATGTTGCTTCAATATATCCACATAATTTTCTTTCCTCATGTTGCCATCTATTTTGTGAAGTGCACCAGTCCCTCCTGCAGCAAAGCACCCTCACAGCATGATGCTGCCACCCCCGTGCTTCACGGTTGAGATGGTGTTCTTCGGCTTGCAAGCAGCCCCCTTTCTCCTCCAAAGATAATGTTTCATCAGACCAGAGGACATTTCTCCAAAAAGTACGATCTTTGTCCTCATGTGCAGTTGCAAACCGTACTCTGGCTTTTTTATAGCGGTTTTGGAGCAGTGGCTTCTTCCTTGCTGAGCGGCCTTTCAGGTTATGTCAATATAGGACTCGTTTTACTGTGTATATATATAGTTTTGTACCTGTTTCCTCCAGCATCTTCACAAGTTCCTTTGCTGTTGTTCTGGGATTGATTTGCACTTTTCGCACCAAAGTACGTTCATCTCTAGGAGACAGAACGCATTTCCTTCCTGAGCGGTATGACGGCTGCGTGGTCCCATGGTGTTTATTATTGCGTACTATTGTTTGTACAGATGACCGTGGTACCTTCAGGCGTTTGGAAATTGCTCCCAAGGATGAACCAGACTTGTGGAGGTCTACAATATTTTTTTCTGAGGTCTTGGCTGATTTCTTTTGATTTTCCCATGATGTCAAGCAAAGAGGCACTGAGTTTGAAGGTAGTCCTTGAAATACATCCACAGGTACACCTCCAATTGACTCAAATGATGTCAATTAGCCTATCAGAAGCTTCTAAAGCCATTAAATCATTTTCTGGAATTTTCCAAGCTGTTTAAAGGCACAGTCAACTTAGTGTTTGTAAACTTCTGACCCACTGGAATTGTGATACAGTGAATTATAAGTGAAATAATCTGTCTGTAAACAATTGTTGGAAAAATTACTTGTGTCATGCACAAAGTAGATGTCCTAACCGACTTGCCAAAACTATAGTTTGTTAACAAGACATTTGTGGTGTGGTTGAAAAATGAGTTTTAATGACTCCAACCTAAGTGTATGTAAACTTCCGACTTCAACTGTACATCTCCATATTGCCATTACTGTGTGGGTGTGTGTGTGGGTGGGTGTTGTGGTACGTTCTAGATAATACAGACTCCTCCATGCCCGTGTCAGAGGAATGAGACAAACCATTATCACAGTGTGAGCCGTAATCACACCGCTATGGGCTGAGCTTGGCACTGTGACATACACACACAGTCTCACTTTCTCACTCGACTGCTAATAGGTATAGAAATGGACCGGAAAAAATACATTTTTTCTTTGTCAGTTTTATTTATTTATCACCATGTGAAATAAAACATAGGGCCATGGCGCCCTAGCAACAGCCTAAGCAGAGAGCTCCTGTACATTATGTAAATATTTTTGTAATTAATTCCTTTTTATGGCATTTTTTACCTACAATCTTTTTGTTTTAAGAATGTGTGGTAACCTGAGTGATGGGTTAGTTCTGTATGCAGTTGCCGATGCGGCCGTAAGGGACTCAACGCTGTAAAACAGGAAATAAAGCAGTTCAGATTTACTTTGAGAAGGAGTCCATGTGCATTGTATGATTTTTAAGTAATTAATTTGCATTTACAGACCTCTACATGCTTTGTAAGTAGGAAAACCTGCAAAATCGGCAGTGTATCAAATACTTGTTCTCCCCACTGTACGTTTGTTTCATCACAAAACCGGAAAGCAACATCTGTCCGGTGAAGTCCACAAAGCAAATATTGCAAGTAACAAACCGTTATATGACCTACAGCATGGTGAAACAAGTTAATGTTTTCAACAGTTTACTAAACAACTACTGATTTAAAACCATGTAGTTACCACAAGTCAGCTCTGCTATTCCAGCACCATTTCAACTTAAACATTTAAACGTAATCGAATCAATAAGGCTAAATATATACTTAGTTTAATACACTGAAAACAAACTTAAAGATACCCAAAACAGCTGAGCTCAGCTCAACACTGATTATTTTGTAATTGTTTTATCAAGGGAGGCCAAACGCTTGCTGGCATCAATCAATCAATTGACGGAAAATTATGAAAACACAGAGAGAGGAAAGTTTAAATGTATTATTATTATTTATTTATTTATTTTATTGGTCAAATATTTGGGGAAGCCTGGCTTCCCTTGGCATCCATGAATACACGCCACTGCAATTAATATAGCTAATTAATATCATAAGAATCCACCACAGCATTAAGACTGAAGCTGGCAAGTCATTTGTTTGTTTGGCTAGCTAGCTAACGTTTGCTGGCTAGCTGTTTTGATTCGAATGCCAGCCAGTGTCCGGAGGTCGAGGATGGAGAGAAGCCAAAAGCAAGACGTCAGAGGTGTGCAGCGATGAGGATCGTAGGGAGGACAAAGTTACAAGGCTGCTCTTTAATTATTATTGAAATGTGGTGTACTTTCTGGCACAATGTTGTGACTGCCATAGCATCATCCAATAGAGTGCTTCATTTTGTTAGTAGTGAAGGAGTAGCTAGCTACCTACTTACTACAGAGTCCATGGACTGCAGTGGCTTAGCTCAAACTTCATCTGACTGAGTTCTACTACGGAAAAGCCAGAGACAGCGAAACACTCCACTTGATGCAACTATGACGTCATCTGAGCGCAACGTATTGTAATGACCTGACTAGATCATAAAAGAACAACTGTCCAGACAGAGGATTGAGTTTACGAATGGACGGTTTATTAAACCAACTTTACACAGGCTACTGTTTGGCCGTAGCCCACGCCAAATAAATGAAAGATAACCCACAAGCCAATCGTGACCTTCTCTTGTGAAGCCCAGACGTAAAAAGAGAGAGAACAAAGGCTAAACCTGGTCTTAACTTCCAATGCTCCATCCCCCTGCCCAACCCCCCTCCACGCCACTCCGCCAACCGCCAGGATGCCCGGCATCAGAACATTCCAGGCATTCCCGTGATTGGCAGATAGCAGGTTGATTGACATGTCGGACCCCGCGAACACTGGGTACTGGTAGGTACAACACAACCATCTACTAGCCTAACACATAACACACAGCTGTCTGTGCGGGTCGCTACACAGCCCCCCCACCACAAAGTCCCTCGTCCCCGAGGGAACAAACAAAGTCTCTGAAGCGACCCGGAGGTCTCCTTTGCCTGCGTGGCTGTGATGGCCGCAGAGTGCCCCTCTGGGAACCAGGGGATGAAGGCAAGGACATGGGGGACAAGGAAGCGGGAACGGGTAATACAGTCCGTGGCTCTGGGGAACCACGCGGTGACACAGGGGGAGTGGGCTGTCTGGAGCCTTGTCTGCGGCACCTGGGGGTGGGTGCCTGGAGAATGTCATTGCCAGAGAGGGGAATTGTGGGGGTTCCTGGGGTTTGGGGAGAAGAGGCCCCTCTATATGGGGCTAACCTGTCCCGGTGCAGTGTCACCTTTCTCCCCCTGGGAGGAAGCTGCACCCGGTAAACAACCTCCCCTACCCTCTCCAGGACACTGCAGGGTCCCACCCAGTGACTGTCCAACTTGGGGCATCTGCCTTTTTTTCTTAGCGGGCTGTAGACCCAGACCAGCTCCCCAGCCACAAAGTGCCTTCCCCGGGTGTGCACGTCATAGTTCCTCTTCTGCCTCACACCTGCATTCAGCAGCTGCTCTCTGGCGAAGGTGTGGGCTGTCTCCAGGCGGTCCTGGAGTCTCCGGGCATACTCCGGCCCCGGGGAAACATGAGGGCTATCCAGGGGCCGACCAAACGCCATCTCCGCAGGGGTACGGATCTCTCTCCCCAGCATGAGGAGGGCAGGCGTGCAGGAGGTGGAGTCTTGGACAGCGGAGCGGCATGCCATGAGGACCATAGGCAGGTGCTTGTCCCAGTCACGCTGGTGTTTGGAAGAGACGATGGCCAGCTGCTGTCCAAGCGTTTTGTTGAAGCGCTCCACAAGGCCATCACTTTGAGGATGGAGAGGAGTAGTGCGGGTCTTGTGCATACCCAGCCTCTCACACATGGTGGCGAACACACGGGACTCAAAGTTTCTGCCTTGGTCGCTGTGGATGGACTCTGCAGCTCCAAACCTGCTGAACATCCCCGCTGTCAGGGCGTCGACGATGGTCTCTGCCTCCTGGTCAGGCAGAGCATAGGCCTCGGGCCACTTTGTGAAATAGTCCATGGCCGTGAGCACCCAGCGGTTTCCACTGTCTGTGGTGGGGAACGGCCCAACTACATCCACTCCCACCCTCTCCATGGGAGCCCCCACTGGGAACTGTTGGAGCTGAGCATGAGAGCGGCCTGGGGGGCCCTTTCTCGCTGTGCAGTTGTCACAGCGGCGGCAAAAGTCTTCCACATCCCTCTTGTGCTGCCCCCAGTAAAAGCCCTGACGGAGGCGGCGCAGTGTTTTTGTGACCCCAAAGTGTCCAGTCCCCACCCCCCCATGAGTACTCTGGAGCACAGCCTCCCGCAATGCTTTTGGGACCACCACCTGCCACCTCTCCTCCCCCGTAGCTGACTCCTTCCATGCCCGCTGTAACATGCCATCAGCCAGCCGCAGTCGCTCAAACTTTGACCACAACCCTTTGGTCGCGAGTGAGAGTGCTGTCACCTCTTCCCATGGTGGCCTCACCTGCGCCTCTACCCACTGTAGCACTGGCTGTAGGTCTGTGTCCCGTCCCTGCTGCTGCCCCCATTCAGCCACGTCGACAGTCTGCAGCTCACAGCAGACAGGCCCCGCTCGCCCGACACACTGTGGCACAGACCCCCTCCTCTGCACACAGCTCTCTCTCCCGTCCCTCTCTCCGTTCACAGTGGCGGCAGCCGTCTGCAGTACAGGGCCGACGGGACATGGCGTCGGCGTTGGAGTGGCGTGCCCCTGCCCTGTGCACCACCGTGAAGTCATACGGCTGAAGCTCCTCCAACCACCGTGCCACCTGCCCCACTGGCTCTCTGAAAGACATGAGCCACTGGAGAGCAGAGTGGTCAGTCCTTACAGTAAAGGGAAGACCACCCAGGTAGTACTTGAAGTGTTTGACGGAAGCCACAACAGCCAAGAGCTCCCGCCGGGTGACACAGTAGCGGTGCTCATGTTTGTCAAATGTTTTGCTGAAGTACGCCACCGCTCTCTCCCCCTCTGGCCCCACCCTGGCCAGCACCCCACCCATGCCCACATTGCTCGCGTCTGTGTCCAGGATAAAGGGCAATGTGAGGTCAGGGGGGGCGAGCACGGGGGCCTCGATCAGTGCACGTTTGAGGGTGTTGAACGCCTCCTCACACTCCACTGTCCAAGTGAAAGCCTTGTCCTTCGGCAGCAGGCGGTTCAGTGGAGCAGCAACGCTTGAGAAGCCCCGTACAAACCTCCTGTAGTACGAGGCCAGGCCCAGGAAGCTCTTCAGCTGACGCTGGTCAGTGGGGGTGGGCCAGTCTCTGACAGCCGCTACCTTGTCCTCCATGGTGCTGATCCCCTCCTTCCCCACTCGGTGGCCCAAGAAGGACACCTCTCTCCTCATGAAGTGGCACTTCTCGGGGTGGAGCTTCAGACCTGCGGCAGCCACCCTCTCCAGCACACACCGTAGCGCCCCCAGGGCTGACTGGAAGGAGCTGCCATGGGCCAGGATGTCATCGAGGTATACCAGACACTGCTGTCCGGGGATGCCATCCAGCACCCTGTCCATCAAACGCTCAAAAGTAGCTGGAGCGTTGCACAGGCCAAAGCACAGGACCTTGAACTGCCAGTGTCCTCTGTTAGTGGAGAACGCAGTTTTGGCTCTGGCCTCTGGGGAGAGGGGCACCTGCCAGTAGCCACTGCGGAGGTCTAGTGAGGAGAACCAGGAGGACCCCCTAACCAGGTCCAGCGACTCATCGATACGTGGTATGGGGTATGAGTCCTTCCTGGTTACCTCATTCAGCCGCCTGTAGTCCGCACAGAACCTCAGCTTGCCCCCCTTCTTCGGAACCATGACGACTGGCGCCGCCCAGGGGCTGTCTGAGGGCTCAATGAAGTCTGCCCGCTGCATCTCCAACACAGCCTTGTCTGCCGCCTCCTGGCGTGCCAGCGGGATACGGCGGGGGACGCATCTTGATAGGTCGAGCATCACCTGTGTCGATCTCATGCTGCACCAGATGAGTCTGACCCACCTCTTCCTCACTCAGCGCAAAGCTGTCTCTGAATTCAAACAGCAACTGCCTCAACCGTTCCTGCTGCTCGGGGTCAAGACCAACACAGTTCCTCCCCCATATCTCCCTCACTGCAGACAGTGTCCTCTCCCCTCCCATCTGGGGTAGCTGGGCTGGGGGGGGCGCGGCCCGGGCTCACAGAGGACTGTGTCGTGGAGGTAGCTGGGGGAATGTAACGCAACGCCGTAGGTGACAGGGGGGCTGGGGAAAAGTCACACCCAGATGTGGGGGAGGGGGGGCAGCCATGAGTCTCTGCTGCTTTAACTGTTGGAGTAAAGGGTTTGTTGGGTTGAGTGAATGTGACATTAGGGGCCATGGTGACCTCCGGCCCTCCCTGGAAGCTCAGTGTGCCCCTATTTAGGTCTAACTGGCAGCCTGTGCTCCTAAGAAAGTCCAACCCCAGGATACAAGGGTCCTGCACAGCCGCCACCCACACAGGATGACGCACAGTCCTGCCCCCTACTGTCAGAGTCATTATTCCCTTCCCTTTCATGGGTGCCAGCTCACCTGTGACTGTGCGGAGCTGCACAGTTGTAGGCTCACACTGAGTCCAACCTGGCACAATATCTGGCCTCACCAGGGTTACTGTGGACCCAGTGTCCACCAGGGCGGAGCAGGGCACCCCCTCCACAGTGACAGGGACATGACAAAAGTCCCCAACACAGGTCCGGCCCACCACAACAACAGGCTCCATCCGCTTGCCCTCGTCTGCTTCTGGGGGAAGTGGAGCCTTGCTTCCCAGTCTGTGCCGGTGGGCTCCTCCTGAAGAAGATGGTGGTTGGGATAGAAAGCCAGGGGTCCGCACTACCCGGTCTATGCGGACCCCGAGCCGTTTCCCTGAGCTCTGGGGGACATGGGGCAATCTCGGCGCAGATGGCCTGGCTGGCCACAACCCCAGCAGACCCTGGGACCAGGGCGTGTGTTTCGTGCCACCTGTAGCGACACAGCACGAATGAGTTCTGCCATTTCAGCCACCCATGCAGGCTTTTCCGGCTCCGGGCTGCTCTGCCCCCCAGCTCGCACAGAGGGTCTGTCTCCCTGCACCCCCACCAAAGCCCCAGCTGAAGCCCCAGCCCACACCAGCTCCCTCTCCAAAGCCATCTCCAAGGCTACCTGCAATGACTCAGGATGAGCCAGCTGGGTCTGTATGCGCAGCTCCGTAGGAGAGAGCGCCTGTATGAACTGGTCCTGTGCTAGCTCGCTCTGCACGGAGGGGGGCATGTGAGCATATGCCCGCCGAGAGAGGCTCTCAATGTCATTAGCTAACACCCGTAGAGGCTCTCCAGGCTGCCTGCGTCTATTACTCAGTTCGGAGCGCAGTAGCCCGGGCTGTACACACTGTCCATAGCGCCTCCTCAGTGCTCCCACTAAAGCACCATAATCACGTCTGTCCTCGGGGCTAATCAATATCAAACAGGCCAGAGCTTCATCCGTGAGGCATAAAGCCAACTGCAGTGCCCTATCTTCATCCGACCACCCCCTAAAATGAGCTAACAGTTCAAACTGAGCATGAAAAGCTTCCCAATCCGCCTTACCGGAATACTTCGGGGTCTTAACGGATACGGACGCAGCCGGGAACTGGGCGCCGCCATGTTTGTTTACATCCTGAGCCCCAGATTCCTCGTCCCGCCGCGTCGACGTCACCCCTTCGGTCCGCCCACCAGAATCCGCGCGAAACACAGTCGACGAAGCACTCATGCCCGCTTCAGCCGCCATCACTCTAACGTCCTCCCTCAAGCGGCCTCTGGGCTCCGATGCCCTGGCGATCTCCTCAGCCAGAACCCCCGACGTCCATGCACACGCACCTCCTTGGCCATAATCGTCCCCTACCTCCACCTTCACTTTCGGATTCCCTCGAAGCATCTTCAACCCCCGTTCTCACCTACGGTAGCTAGCCACAGAAGTCAGCTAGCTAGCTGGCTAACTTTTATCAACGTTTTTACTTCTGACACCAATGTAATGACCTGACTAGATCATAAAAGAACAACTGTCCAGACAGAGGATTGAGTTTACGAATGGACGGTTTATTAAACCAACTTTACACAGGCTACTGTTTGGCCGTAGCCCACGCCAAATAAATGAAAGATAACCCACAAGCCAATCGTGACCTTCTCTTGTGAAGCCCAGACGTAAAAAGAGAGAGAACAAAGGCTAAACCTGGTCTTAACTTCCAATGCGCCATCCCCCTGCCCAACCCCCCTCCACGCCACTCCGCCAACCGCCAGGATGCCCGGCATCAGAACATTCCAGGCATTCCCGTGATTGGCAGATAGCAGGTTGATTGACATGTCGGACCCCGCGAACACTGGGTACTGGTAGGTACAACACAACCATCTACTAGCCTAACACATAACACACAGCTGTCTGTGCGGGTCGCTACAGTATGTTGTTTGTTGTTGAACGCTGAACGCTGAAAGCTGAACGAGAGACCAGGGTTTATTGTTTTTGTAAAGCTGACAGTGTTTTTATATACTTTTATTTTATTTTGGATACTGCCGCTCTTCCCAGTAAAGCATTAAAAACAATCAAGCAACCGAGAAAAATGCTAAAGATAGACCATATTAACATATGCAGCCTGAGAAACAAGGTCCATGAAGTCAATAACTTGCTTGTAACAGATGACATTCATATTCTGACTATCTCTGAAACTTACTTAGATAATACCTTTGATGATACAGTGGTAGCAATACATGGTTATAATATCTACCCACATCTACTGACATCTACTGACAGAGTGGAGTGGGGCGAACCCACAATGATAGTAAAAAAACTTTGGAGCACCTTAAATGAAATTTTGGGGAAAAAAGGAAAACTCGGCTCTGTCATTCATTGAATCAGATGGCTCATTCATCACAAAACCCACTGATAATGCCAACTACTTTAATGACTTCTTCATTGGCAAGATAAGCAAACTTAGGTATGACATGCCAGCAACAAACGCTGACACTACACATCCAAGTATATCTGACCAAATTATGAAAGACAAGAATTGTACTTTTGAATTCCGTAAAGTCAGTTTGGAAGAGGTGAAAAAAGTATTGTTGTCTATCAACAATGACAAGCCACCGGGGTCTGACAATCTGGATGGAAAATTACTGAGGATAATAGTGGACGATATTGCCACTCCTATTTGCCACATCTTCAATTTAAACCTCTAGAAAGTGTGTGCCCTCAGGCCTGGAGGGAAGCTAAAGTCATTCCGCTACCCAATAATAGTAAAGCCCCCTTTACTGGCTCAAATAGCCGACCAATCAGTCTGTTACCAACCCTTAGTAAACTTCTGGAAATAATTGTGTTTGACCAGATACAATGCTATTTCACAGTAAACAAACTGACAACAGACTTTCAGCACAGTTATAGGGAAGGACACTCAACAAGCACAGCACTTACACAAATTACTGATGATTGGTTGAGAGAAATTGATGATAAAATGATTGTGGGGGCTGTCTTGTTAGACTTCAGTGCAGCTTTTGACATTATCGATCATAGTCTGCTGCTGGAAAAACGTATGTGTTATGGCTTTATACACCCTGCTATATTGTGGATAAAGAGTTACTTGTCTTACAGAACACAGAGGGTGTTCTTTAATGGAAGCCTCTCAAACATAATCCAGGTAGAATCAGGAATTCCGCAGGGTAGCTGTTTATGCCCCTTACTTTTTTCCATCTTTACTAATGACAGGCCACTGGCTTTGAGTAAAGCCAGTGTGTCTATGTATGCGGATGACACAACACTATACACATCAGCTACTACAGCAACTGAAATAACTGTAACACTTAACAAAGAGCTGCAGTTAGTTTCGGAATGGGTAGCAAAGAATAAGTTACTCTTAAATATTTCCAAAACTAAAAGCGTTGTATTTGGGACAAGTCATTCACTAAACCCTAAACCTCAACTACATCTCGTAATGAATAATGTGGAAATTGAGCAAGTTGAGGTGACTAAACTGCCTGGAGTAACCCTGGATTGTAAACTGTCATGGTCAAAACATATTGATACAACAGTTGCTAAGATGGGGAGAAGTCTGTCCACAATAAAGCGCTGCTCTGCCTTCTTAACAACACTATCAACAAGGCAGGTCCTACAGGCCCTAGTTTTGTCGCACCTAGACTACTGTTCAGTAGTGTGGTCAGGTGTCACAAAGAGGGACTTGGGGTTGGCTCAGAACAGGGCAGCACTGCTGGCCCTTAAAAGTACACGGAGAGCTAACATTAATGACATGCATGTCAATCTCTCATGGCTCAAAGTGGAAGAGAGATTGACTTGATCACTACTAGTTTTTGTAAGAGGTGTTGACAAGCTGAATGTACCGAGCTGTCTGTTTAAAATAGACATGCCACCAGAGGTCTCTTCACAGTCCCCAAGTCCAGAACAAACTATGGGAGGCGCACAGTACTGCATAGAGCCATGACTACATGGAACTCTATTCCACATCAGGTAACTGATGCAAGCAGTAGAATCAGATTTTTTTTTAAACAGGTAAAAACACACCTTATGGAACAACGGGGCTGTGACAAGACACACACAAAGGTACAGACACATGTATACGCACACATTGTGATATTGTTGTATGGTGGTATTAAACATTTTGTATTGTAGTTATGTAGTGGTTTAATAATGTTATATGGTGTACTGTTTTATCTTTTGTTTTATATGTAATGTAAGTGCTTTAATATGTTTGGACCCCCAGGAAGAGTAGCTACATTGGCAGCAGCTAATGGTGATCCCTAATGAATACAAAATACACCTTGATGAGACCACGCTTCCTGCCTGCCTATGGACTTTCCCTCCCCACTTGACCACCTCCCTCAGATGATAACTCAAGCCATTAACTTTCTAATGACTGTCCATCTCATGATGTTGTGATGTTGTTTTTCTAAATTACTTGTCTTTTTTTTGTTTGCTTTGAAGCGCTTTGAGATTCTGTGAAAAGTGCTATATAAGTTGAATAAATTGTTATTGTTATTATAAAAAAAATTCTCATTGATCTACACACAATACCCCATAATGACAAAGCGAAAACAGGTTTTTAGACATTTTTGCAAATGCATTAAAGTAAAAAAACAGAAATACCTTATTTACATAAGTATTCAGACCCTTTACTATGAGACTCGAAATTGAGCTCAGGTGCATCCTGTTTCCATTGATCATCCTTGAGATGTTTCTACAACTTGATTGGAGTCCACCTGTGGTAAATTCAATTGATTTGACATGATTTGGAAAGGCACACACCTGTCTATATAAGGTCCCACAGTTGACAGTGCATGTCAGACCAAAAACTAAGCCATGGGGTCGAAGGAATTGTCCGTAGAGGTCTGAGACAGGATTGTGTCAAGGCACAGATCTGGGGAAGGATACCAACACATTTCTGCAGCATTAAAGGTCCCCAAGAACACAGTGGCCTCCATCATTCTTAAATGGAAGAAGTTTGGTACCACCAAGACTCTTCCTAGAGCTGGCCGCCTGGCCAAACTGAGCAATCAGGGAGGTGAACAAGAACCCGATGATCACTTTGACAGAGCTCCAGAGTTCCTCTGTGGAGATGGGAGAACCTTCCAGAAGGACAACCATCTCTGCAGAACTCCACCAATCAGGCCTTTATGGTAGGGTGGCCAGACGGAAGCCACCCTTTAGTAAAAGGCACATGACAGCCCCCATCGAGTTTGCCAAATGGCACCTAAAGCCTCTCAGACCATGAGAAACAAGATTCTCTGGTCTGATGAAACCAAGATTGAACTCTTTGGCCTGAATGCCAAGTGTCACGTCTGGAGGAATCCTGGCACCATCCCTATGGTGAAGCATGGTGGTGGCAGTATCATGCTGTGGGGATGTTTTTCAGCAGCAGGGACTGGGAGACTAGTAAGGATCGAGGGAAAGATGAACGGAGCAAAGTACAAAGAGATCCTTGATGAAAACCTGTTCCAGAGTGCTCAGGACTGTGCAGCGATGCTCCCCATCCAACCTGACAGAGCTTGAGAGGATCTGCAGAGAAAAATGGGAGAAACTCCCCAAATACAGTTGTGCCAAGCTTGTAGCATCATACCCAATAGACTCAAGGCTGTAATCGCTGCCAAAGGTGCTTCAACAATACTTATGTAAATGTGATATTTCCGTTTTTTATTTTTAATAAATGTACACTCAAAACAAAAATTGTTTTTGCTTTGTAATTATGCGGTATTGTGTGTAGATTGATGAGGGGGAAAAAACGATTTAATCAATTTTAGAATAAGGCTGTAACGTAACAATATGTGGAAAAAGTAAATGGGTCTGAATACTTTTCCGAATGCGCATTATGCATTTATCCCCAGCATTGCTTTGACCATTAGGAGTTGCAGTGTCTTCTGGGAGTTGTAGTCTCATCTCAACATGTTCTCTCTTCCTGTTTTGCTGTAGGACTTCCTGACTGACCTGATGATGTCAGAGGTGGACCGGTGTGGGGAGAACGAGCATCTGATCTTCAGAGAGAACACCCTGGCCACCAAGGCTATAGAGGAGTACCTCAAACTAGTGGGGCAGAAGTACCTGCAGGACGCACTTGGTAAGTCTGTCTGTCTGTATCTATCTGTCTGTTTATCTGCCTATTTTTCTGAATATCTGCCTGCCTGTCTGCCTGCCTACCTGCCTGCCTGCCTGCCTGCCTGCCTGCCTGCCTGCCTACCTGCCTGCCTGCCTGCCTGCCTGCCTGCCTTCTCCAGCCTCTCTATGTCTTCAGTTATAGGAGAGGAGAGATAAAGCTATTGGAGACGGTGTATGTGATAGGATCTGCTGTACAGAAGGGGAGGATGGGGCTGTAGATATGGTCTTTGTATTCAGCTGTAGGAGATGGCTGTAGAGATGACTGCTCCAGTCTGTGGACCGTGACATTTTCCTCCAGCACAGCACACTCTCTGGAGGAGAGAAAATTAATACTGTTTATCTCTCTATTGCCTGCCTTCAAGTCTTCACACTATTTGACCGCTCTTTAGACTCTTCCCAGCTAGCACATTTGGTTCCTTGGAAGTTGTCGGAATGTACGTTTTTGGTTTCCCATTGGTTCTGGGAACGAAGCCATATGTTTCCTGACTGGTAAAACTGAAAGTTTATCATACGTTCTGAGAACGGGAGTGAAAATTTCACCTATTCTGGGAACTTACATTTTTAGGTTGCAGGGAGGTTCTGAGAACGTTTTACCATGGTTCTCTGAAAGTTTTCCTGGGAGGTTTTATTAACGTTCTGAGAACGGAAATTAAAGTTTATTTTAAGGTAATTAAATAACGTTCTGAGAACATGTTTCAATAAGACTTTTAATGAAACTACTGGCTTAGTTTGGGTTAACTGTTTTGAACTTTGCTTATGCATTAATCATACAAACACATTTCTTTTTTATTGTGGCACTGCATCAGTGAGATTAAAATCTATGATCTTCTGTTCTCTATCCATGGAATTAGTCCACTTCGCCACCAGGATGGAGCTAGCATGCCATGTTTTTTTAAACTCATTTAGTCTATTCAAACAGACCCCATTTAAAAGAAAACAAGCACCCATTAAAATGGAACTGACAGCGTTTTAGCAACATGAAATCTTATTCGAATCTGTTCATATACACCCCCAGGAAGAATATGACACCTTTTTTACATTTTCTGACAAGCAAGCACTTACAATGTTTGGGAATGACATAGAGTAAGGCAAATTCTATAGCAATATGGAGGGGGATAGTGGCCGTGCGTCTGGACAATTAATAGAAACTGCAGTAAATAAAGACTAATAAAAACATATGTCACGCAGGCCTGCCATCATTCACTTTGAAATGGACAGTGTGTTTACAGCCAGTAGCAAGTTCATCGTGACTTTAGATCATTAGAATGCATACGCCAAAAGCCACCTGAATGGATTTCTGCAAATATGTAAATCCCACGGGAGTCCTCTTACATTTGGGAACTTTACAGTCCTATTGATCAAACAACCATGAAAAGTTAGGCTCTCTCTCCCTCAGTTATGCACATCAACAACAACAAGATCAACAACTAATGCTAGCCAGAGTGAGATGAGCTAAAATCTAACAAGGGAACATTAGATAAACCCTCTCAAACTTTTTCAGCTACTTAGCCGTCAAAATTGCACTGATAAACGATGGGGAATGGTTGCCTGCTCGACCTTCTGCAGCTTGCCTGCCAATGCATGCTTGTCCCAACTCACGTATCGATGCAAAATATATTTGATTGACAACTAAGGGTGCGTTCGTAAATTGCCTCTAGTGTGTCAGAGTGCGCTTTTGGTCGTTCGTAAATTCAGAGCGTTGTCAGATTGTCTGTTCATAAATTCTGTGTATTTTGCTCTCCGAGCGTTCAGAGCTCACACCGCACTATTGACACGGGATGCTCTGGCCGAGGAGTAAGGTTGATTCGAGCATTCCTCACAATGGCAGTCAAGCACCGGCTAAAGTTGGCTAGCTTGCTAGCTACTTCCAGAAACAAATGACAGAACACCTCACTCTGACCATTTTACTCGCCCTAGCAGAGCTGGTTAGGCTGTTTACATATTTTTACATTTTACATTTTAGTCATTTAGCAGACGCTCTTATCCTGAGCGACTTACAGTTAGTGAGTGCATACATTATTTTTTATTTTTTCATACTGGTCCCCCGTGGGAATTGAACCCACAACCCTGGCGTTGCAAACGCCATGCTCTACCAACTGAGCTACATCCCTGCCGGCCATTCCCTCCCCTACCCTGGACGACGCTGGGCCAATTGTGCGCCGCCCCAATTGGCCCAGCGTCGTCATGAGTACATGTTATCTAGAGCGTTAGTGACTAACTGTGCTGCTGGCAACAATTAATAATAACAATAATAATTACTTTTTTTGCCAACAAAGTTCATATTCAGCAGGTGTTGCGTGTTCGTAAATTCATCCATTATTCAGCACTCTGGCACACTCAGACGAGAGTGCTCGGAAATCAGTAGGTAGCCAGAGTGAATTTTCTAACGCAAGAGATATGCTATCTGGATTATGCTAATTTAGCTAGCTAGCAAAGTGATTGACATTTCTTGCTAGCTAACCAAATGACACCTACATCTCTAGCTGTAGCCACCAGAAAAAATTATGAGGGGGAAAAGTCGGTCACTCACCTACTCCTCCAATTACATGACATCCTCCCAGCAGCTAGCTAGCTAACGTTAGGCTCTGTGTTTCTAGCTTGCTAAATAAATAGCTAAACAGATACGCAAGCCTATTAGCCATGTTGACTGACTTATGATCATTGCGCTTGGTAGTTTGATTGTATTGACATTCCTAGCCTTAGTTACATTTGTCTGTTTTTGTCCAAAATATTGAGTAATTGAAACTGAAACAGTGCAACCCGAATGGGTGGAGGCAGCAAACAATATACAAGCCAGCTGTGATTTACAACCTGATAGCAATATTTTATATTGATCATTTTGTCTGATATTATGATTGTCTGTTTGTTTCATATCTGCAAAGTAGCTAAAACGCTGCCAGTTCCACTTTAAGATCAGGTGTGGCCAATTAGTAGGCGTGGCCAACACACCTCAACACACTTAACACAATAGAGGATAGAGAGAGTTTTTTGATGCTGAGAGGAACGGGATGTATATGTTTTAAAATAACATTTTTAGAACGTTCTCTGCACATTACTAAAGTTTTCTTGTGGTTTTTATGGAAAGTTTTCTTAACGTTCCGGAACAATTTGAGAACATGACTTTTATAGAACCATGAGGAAACCTGTAGGAAACTTTATGCTGAAGTACTGAAATTCCCACAGAAGAACGTTGTTTCTTAACATTCTCTGAAATATTTGAGAACATTCTCAATGTCAAACCAGTTGGAGAACATTCCTAGAACATTACCAAAATTGAAATTATATGTAACCATCTTTGAACTTTTAGGAAATGTTCTGTTAAAGTAATGAAATACCCCCCCAAAAAAAAAAAAAAATTGTCAAGTTCCTTAAATGTGCTGAGAATGTTCCAAAGCCAAGCAACTATCCTGCACCACTCCCAAAAAGTTGTGGGAAGGTTGTATGCTAAATAAAAAATAATCATTGGACAACCATGCTCTCACCAAGCTCTAAGAAACCATATGGTTCTCAGAATGTTATGTGCTAGCTGGGTTTTTTCTCACTCTCTCTTTATCTCTCTCTCAACCCTATTTTTTCCCAATCTGTCCCTCCACCCATAATTTTTTTCCACTCTTTCTTCATCCATCCATTCTTAATACAGAGACTGTGTGTTATCGTAAACAGTCAAACTTGTTCTGGGTCATTAGGTCATAGTAAAGAGCTTACTGAGCTGTAGTAGAGGTCAGAGGTCATTGAGCTGTAGTGGAGGTCAAAGGGCAGAGAAGGCCCAACCCTCCTGTACACAGAACTCTCTCTCTCTCTCTCTCTCTCTCTCTCTCTCTCTCTCTCTCCCATTATTCAGCACTCTGGCACACTCAGACGAGAGTGCTCGGAAATCAGTAGGTAGCCAGAGTGAATTTTCTAACGCAAGAGATATGCTATCTGGATTATGCTAATTTAGCTAGCTAGCAAAGTGATTGACATTTCTTGCTAGCTAACCAAATGACACCTACATCTCTAGCTGTAGCCACCAGAAAAAATTATGAGGGGGAAAAGTCGGTCACTCACCTACTCCTCCAATTACATGACATCCTCCCAGCAGCTAGCTAGCTAACGTTAGGCTCTGTGTTTCTAGCTTGCTAAATAAATAGCTAAACAGATACGCAAGCCTATTAGCCATGTTGACTGACTTATGATCATTGCGCTTGGTAGTTTGATTGTATTGACATTCCTAGCCTTAGTTACATTTGTCTGTTTTTGTCCAAAATATTGAGTAATTGAAACTGAAACAGTGCAACCCGAATGGGTGGAGGCAGCAAACAATATACAAGCCAGCTGTGATTTACAACCTGATAGCAATATTTTATATTGATAATTTTGTCTGATATTATGATTGTCTGTTTGTTTCATATCTGCAAAGTAGCTAAAACGCTGCCAGTTCCACTTTAAGATCAGGTGTGGCCAATTAGTAGGCGTGGCCAACACACCTCAACACACTTAACACAATAGAGGATAGAGAGAGTTTTTTGATGCTGAGAGGAACGGGATGTATATGTTTTAAAATAACATTTTTAGAACGTTCTCTGCACATTACTAAAGTTTTCTTGTGGTTTTTATGGAAAGTTTTCTTAACGTTCCGGAACAATTTGAGAACATGACTTTTATAGAACCATGAGGAAACCTGTAGGAAACTTTATGCTGAAGTACTGAAATTCCCACAGAAGAACGTTGTTTCTTAACATTCTCTGAAATATTTGAGAACATTCTCAATGTCAAACCAGTTGGAGAACATTCCTAGAACATTACCAAAATTGAAATTATATGTAACCATCTTTGAACTTTTAGGAAATGTTCTGTTAAAGTAATGAAATACCCCCCCAAAAAAAAAAAAAATTGTCAAGTTCCTTAAATGTGCTGAGAATGTTCCAAAGCCAAGCAACTATCCTGCACCACTCCCAAAAAGTTGTGGGAAGGTTGTATGCTAAATAAAAAATAATCATTGGACAACCATGCTCTCACCAAGCTCTAAGAAACCATATGGTTCTCAGAATGTTATGTGCTAGCTGGGTTTTTTTCTCACTCTCTCTTTATCTCTCTCTCAACCCTATTTTTTCCCAATCTGTCCCTCCACCCATAATTTTTTTCCACTCTTTCTTCATCCATCCATTCTTAATACAGAGACTGTGTGTTATCGTAAACAGTCAAACTTGTTCTGGGTCATTAGGTCATAGTAAAGAGCTTACTGAGCTGTAGTAGAGGTCAGAGGTCATTGAGCTGTAGTGGAGGTCAAAGGGCAGAGAAGGCCCAACCCTCCTGTACACAGAACTCTCTCTCTCTCTCTCTCTCTCTCTCTCTCTCTCTCTCTCTCTCTCTCTCTCTCTCTCTCTCTCTCTCTCTCTCTCTCTCTCTCTCTCTCTCTCTCTCTCTCTCTCTCTCTCTCTCTCTCTCTCTCTCTCTCTCTTTCTCTAACATAAGGTTAGTCCAGTGTTGTGTTAGTGTTTGGCTGTGGTCCCGGCGATAAGCCTGGTGTATGTTGATGTATTTACCTCATCCAGCCTGATTTAGAAACGTACCCAGCAGCAGTTTTAGCTGCAGAAAAGCACACGTCCTCCCTGCAAATTCTCTCTCTCTTTTTCCATCTCTCTCCATCTCCCTCTCTCCACCCTCCCTCTCTCATTTCCCTCTCTGTGCATAGATTTTTCAAGTTGTGTGTGTGTGTGTGTGTGTGCCTGTCTGTCTGTGTCTTTATTTCTGGGGTTGTGTTAAGAATATATTGGAGCCTCAGTGAATCATGCATGTGTGTATTTCTTGGTGTAAATGTGCTTTTTTTTTATTTGACGCCTAGGTGAATAATAGAACATCTCATCGCTGCCAAAGATTGACTGGTTCTGGTCTGCCATGCAGGGGCGACATAAGGATGAACAGGAGTAGAGCGAGGGGGAGGGGGAGGAAGAGAGAGAGAGAGAGACCAACTGTACAGGGGAAATAATTACACCTTATCACTGTCAAACTACAGATGATATCTTATTTTTATAGTCTTAACACATCCTCTCTCTCGTTCTCTCTCTCTCTCTCTCTCCTCCCTCACTCTCTCTCTCTTCCTCTTTTTAACTCTCTTGCTCTCCTTCACATGGGAAGGACAAGGTTGACAGGAAGAGGGGGGGAGGATTTGTGGAACGTTGATGGAGCGTTGTTCTATTGTTGTCTGTGTTGTTGTTATCGCGTCTGGTGCATTGACTGAGATGGAGCACATGAACATCAGTCATCAGTCACTTTGTGTTACCTGGGATGACCTGGGTCTCCACTCAGGTTCACTCAGGGTTCTTATTGTTGGTTGACATATTGATGCCATTGGATAGATATAAAAAATCTGGGAAATTGTCTCCCTATCCCAGAGGTCAATAGCATATGGTGGTCAATCATTATAACTACCTCCAGCAACAAACTCGTTCACCTTTGGTTCTCTCGTCGGCTAATAATGATGTTGTTTACTGTTTACTGAATTAAAGTTTGTGTTTGAATGAATTAATGTTTATGTCTGAATGAAGGAATGTTTGTGTCTGAATGAATGAATGTTTGTGTCTGAATGAATGAAAGTTTGTGTCTGAATGAATTAATGTTTGTGTCTCATTACTCACCTGTCTCCCTCTCCAACACTGTTGACTCTCCATACTGACTGAACGTCAGTGTCTGACTCTGGTCTCTCTCTCTCTCTGTGTTATGTGAGTTTATCAAGGCGCTGGTCTCCATAGTGACTTAATGTTAGTGTCTGACTGTCTCTCTTTCTCCCTGTGTTATAGGTGAGTTTATCAAGGCGCTGTATGAGTCAGATGAGAACTGTGAGGTGGACCCGTCCAAGTGTTCGTCCAATGACCTGCAGGAGCACCAGAGCAACCTGAAGATGTGCTGCGAGCTGGCCTTCTGCAAGATCATCAACTCCTACTGGTAACTACTGGGACACCAGCCACAATACACCAATACACTACCATTTATCTATCATGACATTTTAGGAACCACTGTACCACAGGTAACAGTACACTGTCATATCTCCTCCCTAACGTTGTTGATACTTCCCTCTCCCTGGCAGTGTGTTTCCACGGGAACTGAAGGAGGTGTTTGCGTCTTGGCGACAGGAGTGCAGTAGCCGGGGGCGACCGGACATCAGCGAGCGTCTGATCAGTGCGTCTCTGTTCCTGCGCTTCCTGTGTCCGGCCGTTATGTCACCGTCGCTCTTCAACCTGATGCAGGAGTACCCTGACGACCGCACCGCACGCACACTCACACTCATCGCCAAGGTTACTCAGAACCTGGCCAACTTCACCAAGTGAGTGTGTGTTGATGGTGTGTGTGTTCACGTTGTGTGTTTTTACTGTGTGTGTGTGCGCATGCATGCAAGATAGAGAGAGCATGTTTTCTATACGGAGGCACTCACTCTCCCCCTCCTCTCTCTCTCTCTCTCTCTCTCTCTCTCTCTCTCTCTTATTTTCTCCCTCCGTCCCAGGTTTGGCAGTAAGGAGGAGTATATGTCCTTTATGAACCAGTTCCTAGAGCATGAGTGGACCAACATGCAGCGTTTCCTGCTGGAGATCTCTAACCCAGAGACCATCTCTAACACAGCAGGGTTCGAAGGTTACATAGACCTGGGACGGGAGCTGTCCACCCTGCACAACCTGCTGTCAGAGGTCGTCTCTACCATGGACCAGGTAGGACTGACAACCAGGAGGGAGGAGAACAATGAATACAATGGACATTTTGTCATTAGTTAATATACACTTACGTCTGTATATAGTATTTCAAGAATTGAAAGGAGACAGGAGTTCTTCCTGACCACGTGAATTGACCAGGAAAAACTCAAGGCCCCAGCTATAAGTGGATTTTCATGATCAGAATTGACAAAGAACAACTCTGAGCCCTAGTGAAAGCCTATATAACTAGGCCCCAGACATTTTCCCTGGTCAGGTCATGTACTCAGGAAAAACCCCTGGCCCTAATTAAATACGTACTTTAAAAGTACATACTTAAAAATGTTCTAGTGCATTATCACTACCCTTCAGCATTTAATGATGTACAGCGTGCATTAGCATGCTTACCTAACTAGATTCAACAATGTGTATAGCACACTATTGCTTATATAATACAACTACTGCTATCACTCTCTGTCAATGAGAGTACACTATTGGTATGCTATGATTTGCAAATGGATTTGCAGGGACACCTAGTGCATTAGCATCGTTCCGCATGGAGAGCCATCCCAGAGTGGTAATTACTAGGTATATTGGGGGCAAAACCCATAGACTCCATTTGTATGTGTGTGCTCCATCCCATCCTCACAGAGAACAACACACTGTTCCTTTCAATTATTTAAAAAACTCCTGTCTGTCTCCGTTCGACATCAAGTCCTTCCAGGCTCTGATTCATTATTCAAACTGAAGGGCATAATTAGAGGGAGATTAGCACTCTGTAATTGGAAAGATAATACCCAATCTAGCAGCTGACTGACTGATACAGACACAGAGAAAATAGTTGCAGTCTCATCTGCTATCCAAGGTTTCAGTCAGTGCCTATAAAAGTTGCAACAGAAATGGCTTCATACAGTAAAGTAGAAGACCGTGAAGAATGGCATTAATACAGAGTGAGCCTAAGTAGGATGAAGTTTGCCCCCAAGCCTAGACACTGATCTAATGTCAGTCTTGTCAGTTTAATGTCTTCCATACCCCACCGCCCTAATTAGTTACTAGGATTGCAGGAGGTGGAAGCTGATCTTAGATCTGTGCCTAAAGGCCTCAACTTTTATACTGCGCTACCATCACCCCTGACCCCATCTCTGACCTTTAACCTTTTACCCCTCAGAGCTCCGCCTCCAAACTGGGGCCTCTACCCAGGATCCTCCGGGAGGTGAACACAGCTCTGACCAACCCGTACAGTATGACCATGACCGCTCCGTCCCCCTCTGACCGTATGGGGTCTCCGCCCAACGCCGGGGCAGGCTGCAGCATCTCCACCGGCCTGCAGAAGATGGTCATCGACAACGACCTCTCAGGGTAAGGACAGGGTTTGGGAAATGGTATGAGGGTGTGAGGGTAGGGTAAAGGTTAGGAAGAACAAACAAAGGAAACGGTATGGGTAAGGATGGTTAAGGTGGTCAAGGTTTGCTCTTCAAATGTCCTGTGAGCTAAAATGTCTCCAGACTGATAATGAAAGTTGATCTCTTGTAAGTTCATATCTTTGTTAGGTGAATGAGATGAAGGTCATTGTTGTCTATTGTGTTCAACAGTTGTCCTGGATCAATAGGTATAATTAGCCATAGTCGTTGTCGTGACCGTCCGTCCGTCCGTCCGTCCGTCCTCCCTTTATCAAACCACGGTGTGTCAACCCAGTCACAGTCACTGTCCTGTCCCTTCCATTCCCTCCTTATCAGGCTGGCAGAGAACCTGTAACCCAAGTCAGATTTATGGAGGCTGGAGTGAACGAGCCTAGCATTCTAGCAGTCCTTCTTAATTACATCCCATTTACAGGGAGGGAGAGGGGGAGAGGGAGAGAGGGAGAGAGGGAGAGAGGGAGAGAGAGAGGGAGAGAGAGAGAGAGAGAGAGAGAGATCGAGAGAGAGAGATAGATCCGTAGTATAGAGATGTAGAGCGCGAGAGATAGAGAGCTCTCGATGCCCCGAGAGAGAGATCCCCAGAGCAGAGAGAGAGTAGATATATCGAGAGAGTGTAAATCGTGGCTGTCAAGGTAATTGTCTCCAGACAATAAAGCTTCTGACTGGGTGGTGGAGGATAGGAGGAGGAGGGGGGGAAGAATGAGTGCGGATCACTTAACTGCTCCCTATGACTCACATCCTCACTTGCTGCTGCTTTGCTGTTTTTATACCATGTGTCCTGTTGTGTAGGATGAGTGTTCATTGGGATTTCACACTTAGCTGTTTCTCATGTGTGGCCTGAAGGGTTTGACTGGTCATTTTTCATGTCTGTAAGGGTCAATAGATACAACAGTGTACAACTGTTTTACAGAATAATCAAAACCTCTCTCTCTCTTTGTCATTCCTCCTTTTTACCTCTTGCTCTTCCTCCCTTTCACCACTTTTTACCTTCCCTCCCTCCTCCTCCCCTCAACCCCCACCCCTCTCCTTCCCTCTCTCCTCTCTCAGGTTGGTGGACTTCACCAGGTTACCCTCCCCCACCCCGGAGAACAAGGACCTATTCTTCGTCACCAGGAATTCTGGGATCCACCCCTCCCCAGCCCGCAGCTCTAGCTACTCTGAGTCCAATGAACCCGAGCTGGGCATGGCCAACGGCAGCAAAAGCCTGTCCATGGTGGACCTCCAGGACCCCCGCATCTTAGAGAGCAGCCAAGGCCCCGGCCCCTCAGACGGCCTGGGAGAGGGGAATGTTCCTGGGGGAGTGTGGTCGGCCCGGACCCCCCAGGGTAACATCACTGGAGGTCCTACACTGAGGAGGCCGGTTCAGACCCCCACCACCCCTGGGTCGGAGAGTGCCCCAGGCAGGCCGGCTCAGCTTCTGGCCCCCCTGTCCTTCCAGAACCCCGTCTACCAGATGGCGGCAGGGCTGCCTGTGTCGCCGCGAGGCATGGCCGACTCAGGCTCCGAGTGCCACAGCTCCCACAGTTCCCATAGCAACAACGAGGACGGGGCAGGAGGAGGAGGGGGGAAACACAACACCTTCCTGAACCACGGAGGAGGAGGAGGAGGAGGAGGAGGTGGGGGGAGTAGCGGGGAGGAGTATGCCCGTCGTTCAGGGGAGTTTGTAGGCACGCGGAGGCAGCTGTCACTCACAGAGGCCCAGCCCACCATGCCCAGACAAAACAACGCCGGCCCCCAGCGCAGGATAGACCAGCCCCCTCCGCAGACCACCATCACCAGGGGCCGCACGCCCCCCAACCTGCTCAACAGCGGGCCCTACCCGCGCCCCTCCAGCGGCAACATGATGTCATCATCGCCCGACTGGCCCGGCAGTGGGGCACGGCTACGGCAACAGTCGTCGTCATCAAAAGGAGACAGCCCCGAGACCAAGCAGAGAGCCCAGCACAAACAGGTAAGGTACTTATACAGTAGTACACACACACTCCCAGTGAAACACACACAGTCAGTCAGTCAACGTATACTTGTTCAAATGACTGTGTATGGGATAGCTGTTATAGCGAGGTTCTTTGCTGGCAGTCATGTTGGTAGCTTCAGTGTTGGCTTTCAGGGCTCATACTGTATCAGTGTAAAACAAGATCCTTTCTTTCTCAATGAGTTCTCAGGCTAAATAAAGCTTTAACTAAACAAATAATGCAGTGTCATGGAAAGCTTCCATTAATACCACTTCATCCCATTATGCGTTGCATGTTGACAATGCCTGTATGTCCAGTGGGTGGTGTCTGAGCTCTCCTGTTATTCTCTCTAATGAATTACAGTCATTGGAGCAGCCAGTGTGTAATAACAGTAAACACCATGCTCAATGTCTCTGCACTGTTTATACGTGGGAGTCTAATAGCACAGGTCACAGGTAGAGATGCATGCAGGCGTAGGCCTATTATTTCCTGCTTTCGTACAGACGCATAGAGATAGATAGGGTAGTTAGTTATTTTGGGTTGGTTGGTTGTTTTATGGTTACCTTATCATCTGCAGGTCACACACACACTCACTCAAATCTTGCACTCAGTTATTTGTGTATGTGTGTGGCTGTGTGTCTGTCGCTGTTGGGACTGGGAGTTGTTCTAGTGCATATATAATTTATCTGCTGGCATCCTTGGGCTGTTAAAGATTACCTCATAGTCAGCAGGTCACTGATAGGCTGGCTGGTCGATGGTTTCCCCGGTGATCTCTGGCCTCAAGGTGACAGGAAGGACATTTACATTCCCAGTTTCCTACAATGCCCTGCTCTCCCCTAGGGACTGATTGATTGGTCGGCTTAGTGATTGACTGATTGGTGTAGCCCGAGGGTTAATGGGGTTGTAATGGAAACCAGACGGACACCATCCGCGCTCTCAGGGATTTGTTAAGCATGTTGTTTTTAATGTCTTCTTCCTTCCTATCTGAATTACATTAGAGATACATAACAGCTGGATTAGAGAGAGACATTGAGAAGGAAATCAATGCTTGATTGAGTCGCTGTCTGGCTGCACTAACTGGTTTTCAGCTCTGTCTGGAGATGCATGTATTTTTAATAGAGCACGGTGCTTATATACTGAGCAGATTGCAACTATAATTCTAATCCGTGTCACACAGCTCTAATCAAACCTGGCTAGGTTCTGAGTTCATGAAATGATCCTGTCTCAATCCAGTTTAGAATGATGTCTAGAAGTGATGATAAGCTATTGTGCATGTCACCTAACATCACATTAATATGTTGCTAACTAACTAACTAACTAACTGACTAACATCACATTAATATGTTGCTAACTAACTAACTAACTGACTAACTAACATCACATTAATATGTTGCTAACTAACTAACTAACTAACTAGCTAACATCATATATTCAGGAGAAATCTCTTGGCTGTCTTGACCTTGGTATTCTTCTGAGAAGTGTCCAATGACAATGAAATGACAGAGCGAGGTTTGAGCTAATACATTTTAATGAATTCAGTTCACCATATATGAGATTCAAATAAAGATATTCAAGGTTTCAATTCCAAAGACTAGTTTGGACTTTGTCTGTGAAACGATCCCACTGTTCTTCCCCTCCCTTCACAGTCCAAAGGCTCCATCTCCCTTTCACCAACTGTCAGTCACCATAACTGACACATTTAATGACACACAGACACTCTCACTCATACAAACACACACACACACGCTCACTCTCTATCTCACACACAAACACACACACATACACACATACCACACCCTCTCTCTCTCACACACACACGAACACACAAACACGACACTCTGCTTTAGTGATTACATTATGTGTCCTTTACGTTCCATGTGCATTTCGAGCTTATTCCTGTGTGTACGTAGTCTGTATGTCGGTGTGTACCGTATGATGTGTGTGGGTGTACCGCTCGACTCAGCTCATGTGTGTGTGTGTTGTGTTGGTTCCACTAGGCCCCCTCCCCAGTGAACCCCAATGCGCTGGACCGTACGGCTGCCTGGCTATTGAATATGAATGTGCAGTATGTAGACCATGAGGGGATGGACCCCGAGTCCAGAAACAGAGAGGATCTCACTCAGGCCGAGAAGGTAACGTCCAACTCCCAAACCAACCTTAACCCCCTCTCAACCTCCCTTTTACCTCCCTAACTACCCCCCGTTCTGAGCACCCACCCTCTACCTCTCCACCTAACCCCCAACCCTCAACCGTAAACACTACCTCACTCCCTGTAACCAGCACTATCTCTAATCCCCTCAACTCCCATGGTCAAGCCCTCACTCCTACCCTTAACTATGCCCCCTTATAACTTACAATCACTCACAATAACCCAGCATCTCTAATAACAATACTCAGTTTGTATGGTCAAAGGATTTCAACCGTAAGGTATTCTCGTGTGTGTGTGTGTGTGTGTGTGTGTGTGTGTGTGTGTGTGTGTGTGTGTGTGTGTGTGTGTGTGTGTGTGTGTGTGTGTGTGTGTGTGTGTGTGTGTGTGTGTGGAGGACATGCTTCCTGCTGCTTATTCACCTGCTTCTCATCCAACCAGCACATCTCATTGGCTCTTAGCTCCTCATGCTTTGACTGGCTGTCACACAAACACCTCCACTGTTTTGATTGGCTATCACACACACACCTCGGCTACACAACATTCATACATGATCATTACAGCTCTATCAAACGTCTAGGAAGATGCATGCATAACCAGTACAGAATCAATCATTTACTCCAGCTTTGATGGGATCCTTCAGAGGACGTTTTAAGACTACACACAATAAATCAGGGTTCCTCAAGGTGATGGTTCTATGTGGAACCATAATGACTCAAAGAACCCTTTGAGTTCTTCAATGGTTATTTACAGTTCACAAAATAGTTATTTGCTCTTTTAGTGATAATTTTGCCCGTGTGGTTTCACACAGCTCTTTTTGTGCAACCGTGAGTGAGAGTGTCATTCCAGTTTATCTAATGTGTAATGTTATGCCATTACATGTTATATAGGACTATGACCAATGACGCTGTATTGTGAAACACTCAAGTATGGCCTTGTGTGAATTGAGACCGGTTGACTAAATCAGTCAGTGGTTCTCAATTCTCTCCTCAGGGACCCCCAGCTGTTTCAGAGTTAGCTCACTTGATTCAACTTGTCAATCAACAAAATAATAACACCTATGGAATTGTAACAATATAATATGTCTGACCAGAATAAAAAACCCTGTGGTTCTTCAAAATGGTCTATAAAGAACTTTTCAGATTGAGAAAGGTTCTTTATAGAACCATTCTCCATAAAGGTTCTATAAAGAACCATACATAAAGGGTTGTAACCATAGCGGAACACTTTTTTGGTGCTATATAGAACCTTTTTTAATGGTACTTTATAGATCCTTAGGAAAGGGTTCTTTATAGTACCATACAGGTTCCATTTAGAACCTTATGTGCATGGTTCTTTATTAAACCTTCAAAAAAAGGTTCTATATAGCACCAAAAAGGGTTCCACTATGGTTTTAGTGCGTACCCTTAAATGCAGCTGCAGGATCCATGATGTTTTATTAAAGGAGGGATTTGCTTATGCTCCACTTTTCTCCCAGCCAGCACAAACCCTCTCCTCTCCAGTACCGCTCACAGGTCTGTCTCCTCCCTCTCCTCTCCAGTACCGCTCACAGGTCTGTCTCTTCCATCTCCCCCTTCTCCTCCCTCTTTCTTCTGGAACAGTGCTCAGCTTAAGTCCCCTCACATGCCCATGTTTAGAGGTTAGGGATCAAAGGCAAGTGCTGGTGGGATTTGGGACATAGAAGGAATGGAAACTCATCCCTTCCAGGAATACTGGTGGCTTAGAAAAGTGTTGGGTAATAGGTACTTTTAGTCTTCCACACTTCCAACACTTTTTGTCATCCTGCCTAGTGCGAGTTTCAGTTTTCCTTCAATATTTGACCATTTCAAACTTGAAACCAGGTGGACAAAAAAATAACAAATCAGATAAGAAGCAAGAATGGTGTGACAATGAGGTGATACACCTGTCAAGGTCTACCGGAGGACCACTGTGATGAGGAGGACATTGGCAGTGGTTATGGTGATGATAATGAGAACAGTTATTGCCCTCTTCAACCTAGAAATAACAGTACAATTGAATGGGCCAGGATGGGTTGGCAACATTTGAAATAATTATCGGGTTGGCACTGTTGATGAGGATAATAATAGCAACTCTGACTCTCTCTCGCTTTCTCTCCTGTCTCAAGTAGCAGGTGGCTGTATTGTTGAAGATGCCTCTTCCTCTAACCCTGTCTCTCTCTCTCTCTCTCTCTCCTCTCTCTCCAGTACCAGCAGGAGATCGTGGTCCTCCAGGAGAAGCTGCGTGTGTCGGTCCAGAAGCTGGAGGAGTACGAGGCTCGTCTGAAGGGCCAGGATGACGGAGGTCCGAAGGCTCTGATGGAGTACCAGGCACGGCTGGAGGAGTCTGAGGAACGCCTGAGGCGACAGCAGGACGACAAGGACCTCCAGATGAAGGGCATCATCAGCAGGTACGTCTGATGTGGGGATCAGACCCTTTCCAGACAGAGACTGGTGAATGTAAGGAGAGATAACATTGGAGATGGAGAAAGAGAGATCCAGAGTGAGCGTGTGGTAAGAGAGAGCAAGCATACGCTGAGAGAAAGACAGGGAGAGGGGGTGTATGGTAAGAGACATGGGGGGGCGTTAAAACTAAAGGCTGATTTACCTAGGTTTGTAGAGACACAAGGGACCTCAAGAGTTAACCAGCCCTGTGAGTGGGTTTGGTGCCTCGTATTTCTATACATTAACCGAGAAGTGAGATATGTTGGAAGCTTGTGCAGCAGAGCTTTGTAAACAAAAAGGGAGAAATTAAGTGATCTACAGGAATTTAGAGAGGTCCAGCCGACCTTCTGGTAAAGAATGCAGTGATGAGTATTAAACCTGTCACCTGTGGTAGAGTGAAGCACGCTGTGGTAGAGCGAAAGAGAAGGAAGGAGAGAGAGGGAAAGCGAGATGGGTGATGTTATCTGCTGGTCTGTGATGTCAGGAGACACAGCGCTTCCCTGTTCCCTTCAGATCCTTATCACACTGCACCCTGCAATTAGAGCCTACACACACACACACCTCGCATGACTCAATACACACACACACACATCTCACAAAATTCAATATACAGACATTTCACAAACTCAATTAAAGTGAAAAGTGTTATCCTGATTTTTAAACGCCTAGCAGACCAGTGCCCGAGACACACACCTCACAAACTCAATTAGAAGCTCTACACTCCTACACACACCTCCTAAATACATAGCAGACCAGCAGGCCCAATATACCCTCCTTCCAATAACTCTATTATAGGCTGTGCAGTGTGTACTCCTACATACAGCTTTAAAGCACTAGCAGACCCCTGTGTGTTAAGAGTAACACACTCCTAACACACGTTCCTGCTCTGTGTCTTACACTGTGTGTCCTTCTGTTTGTGTTGCTACTGTCCTTCTAACACAGTGTGTGTGTGTCGTGTCTTGCTGTGTATGTGTGTGTGTCCAGGCTAATGTCTGTGGAAGAGGAGCTGAAGAAAGACCATAATGATATGCAGGCTGTGGTCGACTCCAAACAGAAGATCATTGATGCACAGGTGAGAGTCACACACACACACACACACACACACACACACACTTACCCTAACCCTTAGTATACTACTACCCTCATTATATTATATTATATTATATTATATTCGGGTATATTATCCCCCATTCCATCTCCCCTGCATGACAGGTTTTCAAGTTTTATTAGTCTTATGTACAGGATACAATGCTTTCTTGTAGGTTCCTTCTCAACAATGCAATAACAATAAGAAATAATAAAATATAAGAATACAAACGTAAATTAAATGGCTCAGTAGAGTAGAATAAACATTTTAGCATAAGTATAATGCAGGAAAGCACAATTTATAGTACAATATTTACACAGAGAAAGGGGGGATTGGGGGGCAAGTATTTAAATTGTGCTGTATTAGCAATAGTAAATAAGAGTGTGCTAGCAGCCATTGTGATGTGTGTGTAGCATGAAGGTATATGTGGGTGTGTGTATGTCTGTGTGGGTGTGTGCATGAGTGAGTGAGTGAGTGAGTGAGTGCATGTGTGCTAAGGTGCAGAGAGTCAGTGCAGGTAGTCAGTTCAGTTCAAGTGTTCAGAAGTCTGATGGCTTGTAGATAGAAACTGTGAACACCTCGTGGCTGGGGTGTGTGGGGTGCATGATGATGCTGTGGGACTTCCTCAGGCACCGTTTTAAGTAGATGTCTTGGATGGGTGGGAACATGGACCCAGTGATGTACTAAGCTGTCTTCACCCAGTGATGTACAGGGCCTTGCAGTCGTGGACGGAGCAATTCCCGTAGCAGGCCGTGATGCAACCGGTCAGGAACGCTCTCGATGGTGCAGCAGTAGCATTTGGAGAGGACCCGGGGTGGCATGCCGAATTTCTTCAGCCGCATTAGGAAGTAGAGGCGCTGTTGCGCCCTCTTGACAAGAGTGGTGGTGTTTTTGGTCCATGTCAAGTCCTCAGTGATGTAGACACCGAGGAACTTACAGTGCCTTCAGAAAGTATTCACACCCCTTGACTTTTTCCACATTTTGTTGTGCTACAGCCTGAATCTAAAATGTATTAAATTGTGATTTTTTTTTTTGCCACTGGCCTACACACAATACTCAAAAATGTCAAAGTTGAATTATGTTTTTAGAAATGTCTTGAGCCAGTAAATATTCAACCCCTTTGTTATGGTAAGCGTAAATAAGTTCAGGAGTAAATGTGTACTGTGTGGGTGTCCCACTCGGCTCAGCTCGTGTGTGTGTGTGTTGTGTTGGTTCCACTGTAAATACTTTCCCTAAAGGCTGACTCATCGATGTTGATTGGTGTCGTCAGCAAACTTGATGATGGAGTTGGTGTCGTGCAAAGTCACACAATTGTGGGTGAGCAGGGAGTACAGCAGAGAGTGTAGAGAGTTTCACCAACCAGAAATAGACAATGGGCTAGGATGTCAGTTAGCATCTGGTTTGGGCCTGCTGTCTTACAATTCTTAATAACTTCCACCACTTTTACACACACGCAACACCACTTTCAGAGGTAAGGAAGAATGTAACAGGATCATTTACTTGTATGTCGAGGTTGCCTCTCAGTGGGATTCCGCTAGGATGGGATGAAGCCAAGAAAACGTTGTCCACGTCTCTTGTGACGGTAGAGCTGAGGATAGGTTCTCGTCAGTCGGTGTTTAGTTTCCAAAGAGATGGGATTATTCATCCAAAGGGCGTGGCCGCACCTCGCAGAAACTTGATCTCACGTCTGTTAGCAAGTCCTGTAATTTATAGGGATACTCACAGGGGGCGGGCTTATGACAGTCCAGACAGGGTGGTTCTAACAATTAAACACATTTATGTTCTTTGAGACAAACCTGAGACTTCCTCATAAGTGTCCACAGCATGTTTCTACTGCACATTTTAACAATCTCTAGGATGAAGTACGTAACCTGTAGGTACCAAACATGCTTTTGGTAAAATGTATATCATTCCATGTTATAGCAAAATACCTGTTATACCCATTTAATGACGTAGGACAATCAGGAGAAAAATATCACATAATGCTTCAAGATTATATCACGTCATGGGTTTTTCAATTGAATACATTGATAAGAAAACATGTTTAAATGTTTGCGCCATTTTCCTTTGTCAAAAAGCATAGAAAGTAATTGACTCCCTTCAATACACAACTCTTGGCGCTCAAAAGACTGGATGGCCGTTTATCCAGCAACACATGTAGATCACAAGGCGTTCTGTTTTCTGTTGTAAACAGGGAAAGGGAGAGTTTATTTGTCTTGTGATAGCTTGTAAAGGGGGGGGGCTGGAATGTGGGATATTTGTTCTCCATCATCCACTCCACCCCCCCTTGTGTGCTCTCGTTACAACACTCGTCTGGGAGGGAGGCTTCGGTGGGCACCACACAGCTGTATTTGCCTTTGTAGTCTGTGATAGCCTGTAGTCCTTGCCGCATGTGGCGCGAGTCTGAGTTGTTGAACATCTATTCAAATTTGAGTCTGTATTGTCTTTTTGTGTCCCTAATGGATTTGTGGAGCACGCGACACGCTTGTACGTGTCGCGTGCCACTGCGTCGTCGGGGTTTGTTCTGCTGACATTGAATGCTGCGGGACGGGCTCTCAGCATGGTACGGATATCTCTGTTCATCCAGGGTTTTGGTTGAGGTATGTCCGCATTGTTATTGTGGGTGCAACATCATCAACACATGTCCTAATTAAGCCTGTGACAGATCGATTTAGCCCAAGCATTCTCAGGGATAGTTAGTTGATTGACTATATAAAATCCCATAGAGAGAGGGCAGGGCAGTCCTTAGTGGCATAAAACAGTACTGCAGGTCATTATGAGAAACTTGGAATGAGAGTTGAGCACTCACACACTTCCTGTCACACACACGTCCTGTGTTTGCAATGTTTGAACCTCATAGAGAGAGATGCATGGAGAAAACAGAGAAGCCCATGCAGCGCCTAGTCAACTGTGCCCAATATATTGTGTGTATATCCGTTTCTACTCGTGTGTGTGTGTGTGTGTGTGTGTGTGTGTGTGTGTGTGTGGGGTTGGGGCGTACATGCGCGTATGTGTGTGTTGTGTCATCTGCTACAGGACGTGATGGGTGACAGAACATGGAAATACATAATGTTTAATTCAACTTGTGACAAGGCTTGAATGGCTGAGCGGGACACACGACTCTACGCTTCAGTCTTACAGACTAACTCATATTTACATTAACATTATTCTTCCTGACTGTCTGTCAACAAGCGTGACTCATTTGACATGGTAAACTCTGTCAACTTCTGACAGCAGAGTGGCAGCTCTGTGTTGTAGCATAACATTTTCTGATGCAAACATAGCCACTGACGCAAACACACAAACTTCAATGTGAGTTAAACAAAGTTGGAGAAATGTAGTTGAAAGACGCCTCAATGTCAACTCACAGACAGCGATGCACAGACACACACGCACACACACGTACAAACAGAAGCTCATCTGCACAGTATAGTAATGGGAGTTGAGTGTGCAAACAAAGAGGCGGTGGTAAGGCAATGAGCTGCTCCCTGAGTCAACAGACTGGGAGAATGAATATGGAATGCTCATTAAGAAGAGAGGGAGAGAAGTGAATAGTGAATTAGAGAGCACCTCGGGTGGATGAACATGAACGCGATGGAACTTCAGATGATACCGTAAACAACACTTCCATTTTCTATTAATGTGTCTGGTTGTCTGTCTGGCTGGCTGCCTCGCTGGCTGATTGCTTGTATGCTGCTGGTATATGTGTATGTGAGTACTTCATCGCTATCCTTGCACAGGCACTATATTGGTTACTATCTTGCTGAGATTACTGCTATTGTGCGCACGCAAAGCCTGAGAGAAAGTGAGGAATCGACAAAAAAATAGGGCGGGAGAGAGAGACGAGAAAGAAAAAGACTCGAGAGCTATCAAGAGAGGACGCGAGCGAGAGCGGTACGCAGGAGAGAGCGATACACTGAGAGACGAGATCGAGAGAGAGAGAGTCAGAGAAGAGAGATCGAATAGCTCTATCTCTGCTCCTTCTCCTATATAATCTCTCTCTCTCTCTTCTCTCTACTCTCTCTTCTCTCTCTCTCTCTCTCTCTCTGCATGAGAAGCGTTATAGCGTCTCTCGACGCAGCCAACGCCCGTCTGATGAGTGCCCTGACCCAGCTGAAGGAGCGTTACAGCATGCAGACCCGTAATGGCATCTCCCCTACCAATACCACCAAGCTCCAGATCACTGAGAACGGAGAGTTCAGGAACAGCAGCAACTGCTAGAGAGAGACTGAGAGAGAGGGTGTGTTTGTGCGTGCGTGCGTGTGTGTGTTGGCTGGTGCTTGTAGAGGACATTTCCTTATATGGACACTAAACGGGGGTTAGTCTGAGTGAGGAGACCACTGTGAGGGGCCAAGCAGCGAGGAGGCGGGACTTCGGTTTGACAGACAGCTGACCAAGACAGCGAATCAATGGACAGAGCTGAACACCAGTGGGCCCTGCAGAGGAGTAGGCGTGACAAGCTGTAGATATGAACTGAACTCTCCATTAATCAACCGATTTGGATGTTTCTATTGGATGTATGCAGTTGCTGGGACAATTTCAGACTCTCTTCCCTAAAGCTTGGGACAAACCACTATATAATCAACACAATGTGTGTCTGTCAGATAGTCACCCAAACCTCTCTCTTCTCCTCTCCTCTGTTTTCCTCTCCTTTCCTGACCTTCTTTCCTCTCCAGGTTATGTGGACCATGTACAAAACAAAACAATAATAACAGAAAACTAATTTATAGTAGTGTTAAATCTCAAAGAAAATGTTTTTTGTCCAATGGTTTATTTAGATCTTATCTCATTCTTTTAAAAACCAAATAGGAGCTTTGAAGTATTTTTTGTCCAAACTGATCTTTCTTTTTAAGTCCTTGGGTGTGTTCCAAAGTGCCCCCCTATCCCGTACACCAGCGGTCGGCAACAGGCGGCCCAAAATCATATTTAGTGAAAAATACAAATACTTTTTGGGGTGATTTTAGTTTGTGGTCAAAAAGACTGTAAAATCACTATGAATTCAGCAAAAAAAATGTTTCATTTAGGAAATCAGTTCCCAAGTATTCCCACGAATAAACAAAGAGATCGTGTCTCAATGTAATCAAGGTATGAAATTATTAATATTTTCAAATAAAATCTATTTTTAGGCTGTGGTCAATTTGCAGTGTACATATTATTATAATTATGTTCCGGTCCCCAACCATCCGCTCCGACAAAAATCGGCCTGCGGCTGAATCTAGCTGCCTACCCCTGCCCTACACCAGGGCTGTTCAATTTCAGTCCTTCAGGGCCGAAACACTTCTGGTTTTCATCCTCTCCTTCTAATAAGGGACTAATTCAGACCTGGGACATCAAGTGATTAACTACAAGGTAGAAACCAAAACCAGAAGTGTTTCGGCCATCCAGGACCGGAATTGAACAACCCTGCCCTACACGCTTGTCCCCTATATAGTGCACTTTGTGAAAGCTATTGGTACATGAAACGCCTTAAGTAAGGAACACATCTCTACTTTGTCCTTCAGCTCCCCTATTCCTGCAAAAAAAGGCACAACTTATAATACTGTGGATTTTTAAAGGAATATAAATATATTGTATAAATACATCATGCAATGTGTTATGAATACTAAATAATGACATATATGTGAAAATATATTAATGAAATGTAATATAGATGTATGCATATTTCCCTTTTCCTCTATAAAGTATACATGAGATATAGTTATATTTGATCATGTCAAATGTAAAAGAAGCCCCTCCAAGGAGTGGGTGATTGAGTGTTTGAGTTGTGTTTTTCCTGTTTAAAAGACTGCAGCTATTGTGTGTATTATAGGGCTTCGGGGGGAGAGACTGCACACTATGCAGTGAGTAGCACCATCAACAGATGAAATACAATCCTATTTTATTTCTTCCTCTTAACCTTTACTTTATCCAGGTTTTGGAAACAGACCTGGTTGGATTGAGGTTTGCTTTAGTGCTTCATCAATAATGTTGAAACAATGTTGTATGTTGCTTGTGTGTCCCTTTGCGTTCGGGACCCTTGCCATGGCTGGTCTGATAGCCCTGTAGCACAAGGAGAGAGAGAGTTGTGTTGTTTAACACAACATTATACTATACACTGGACTGGTGTGGGTTATATGTGACCTCACAGGTTAGAATCTTACTATTTCTTAAAACTCTCCTGTTTGCTAATTCATGTCAAAGAAGCATGCTGCATAAAGACTATGACCCCCACTTCGCTTTGAGGCATCTATCTCTCCTCTCTTTTTCTCTCCCTTTCTCCCTCATTCCCTCTCTCTCTCTATTGAATGTGAAGATGCTACTCAAACACGCGGTTTGTCTTAATGTGGGGTCTAGGCGTATAGTCCCTCTGAATGATCTTATAGCTACTGTTCGGCTTGCTCCCACCACCCCCCAGACATTTTCAGCATCTAGATTTTGTATATTTTTCTATTCATTTTTCTTACCTTTACAGATGAGTTAGGAGTGAAAAATCTGCATGCTTCATTTTGGCGCTATAACCAATGGTAGCGACCCACTGTGTCACCATTTCTTTTAAAGTTTCCAATATAGGACGATCGTGAAATGTTGTTTTTATGAGTTGCTGCAGACATAAATGATATGTGATTATATATCATATAAATATATGATAATGATGAGTGTATTGAGAGGCTGGACAGCCTTGTAGAAGAGAGTGTAAATAAAATGTTCACAATATTTTTAACTAATGTTAAAAAGAGAGCCTTTTTTTTGTAAATGTACCTTGTGTTCAATAATACTGCTGTATCGATTGATATGACATCATGGATATTGTAAATAGCTCAACCAGTCATCTGTCCTGTTCAGTTAGATCTCCAGGTTTTAGCTAAAGTCTCTAATTTCCACCCCCCGCATTCAGTATTCTCTTTTTCTATCAAGGGAAAAACACTTCAAAAGTATGTTGCAAAAATGTTTTAATGACAATGTTGACTCAGAGGTTTTGGATGATGTCAGATGTGTAGAGGTCAGAGAGAGTCCAAACGTCCAGCGACCTATGACCCAATCAAGTGTGGAGAGAGAGAAACACAAGCACATAACCCCATTTCTCATCAGCCCAGCTCTGCACTTTTAAAATGAGGTTTTAAGCATTGCTAGAGCTGGATTCAAACCTTATCGCATTTAAATTCAAAGGCAATGTTCCCGCGTTCGCAGAGACTTACTTACTTTACTTAGGCTACTCTTGCTTTTTGTATTCTGGCCTTTACGTCCTGCTCAGTTCTGCCTTGTTTGGTGATGACGCTGCCCAGGTAGGTGAAGGAGCTGACATCCTCCAGTGGTTCTTCTCTGAGGGTGATTGGATTGTTAGATTCCTTGTTGAGCGTTATTATCTTGGTTTTGTTTCTGTGGATAGTTGGGATGTCCAGGTCTGTCGTTTTATCTTGCATTTGCTGTTGACTGCGTGACAGGAGTGCTAGATTGTCCGCAAAGTCGAGGTCATCCAACTGTGTCCATAGAGACCATCGTATGCCATTTCACCTGTTCTCAGTTGTCTTCCTCATGATCCAGTCAGTGGCTAACAGGAAAAGGAAGGGTGACAGGAGACATCCCTTTTTTACTCCAGTCAGGACCCTGAAGGGTGTGCTAAGCTTGCTGGCATGCACAACCCTGCATGTTGTGCCATAGTACACCATAGTGTCTGATGAGCCTCCATAGGGTGTCTCTGTCTAGGCTGTCAAACGCTTTCTCATAGTCCACTAAGTTGACATACAGGGATGAGTTCCACTCAATGGATTGCTCAACTGTAATGTGGAGCGTGGTACATTCGCGGAAACTGCATTCACGGTAAACGCTGCATATGTCGGCTCAATCAGAAATTACTTTGACATTTTAACGCGGATCTTCCGCGATACGGATTGAATCCAGCACCTAGTCTACGTTCCATGAACACACCCCTGTCTTTTGGACTGCAGAAGTGTGCACTCCTGGCTTGATAAGCCATGTCGTGGAGTGCACTACTGAACCACTAGATTTCATATAATTTGCTCACTCAATTTACTTCAATTATCTATTTTATTTCCAACGTTTTGAGGGGAAAAGAGATGACTTAATTCCTGTCATTATCTAGTAGTGTTACCAGTGCCACATAGCATAATGCCACTTCCATAGAAATAGGGAATGCAATAGGGAATCCTTTTCATTTGGCTATCAACTCTAAATCCTCTGTATGTTTCTGGTCACGTCCCACCTCTGTTCCACCTTCATGAAGTTGTTAAAGAACGTAGGAGAGAAGGAGAGTCAGAGAGAGAAAGGTGATGATGATGTCTATGTAGCCACACACACTCACTTATACAGTACACACAGTACAGTTACAGCCAGTGGAAAAATACTATAAACTAAATATATCTCTATAAATAAAGTAAAAGATGTATGTTTTCTAATATCTTATAGAAAATACTTTTGTAATGATGCTGAAAGTAAAGTATTTGCTGGATTCTGCTTCCTTGGACAACAGTGACAAAAACAATAATGTACAGAGGAATTTGTTTGTGTTGACGATATATATATATAAAAAAAACTATGTGGCTGTGCAATTTATGTACATTTGCAACTAGACTTATTAAAGTTTTATTTAGCTATTTTAAGCCACTGCCTTGTGTGTTTCTTGCCACTATGGTGAATATATTTTCCAATACATTTATATTTTCAATATCATTTTGGTAAATGCAACAATCACATAAAGGTCTTCTCAAATTGATATGCAGTTTTCATGTGACTCATCGGACAGCCACAACCTATAATTCAGCCTGAAATCAGTGGATTCAGACCTACAATTTGGTAAACACTGTTTTAGATGATTGACAGGTGTTAAATCAGATACCCCTTGGCTTATAATAAGAAAATTAACATATGTTCAAAGATGTTCAGTCCAGTAATAGGATGATGATGAGAACAATTTAGAGGATGGGGAGATGGAGGGAGAGAGCTAAAAGAAGAGAGGAAGATGGAGAGAGGTAAAAGAGGGGTAGTGAGTGGTGCATGCTCCTCAGCTAGGCTGACCTACATACCCTGATTGTTATTCCCCACAGTAGCTGGGAGAGAAGATGAAGAGCAGAAGGAAAGAGGGAAAATGCTCCAAAACACATGAGCTGAAAATGCTCCAAAACTCTATCCTACATTACCCAAGGTAGACCTTATTTCTTGCCATGTATTACAGTCAGGGTTGGGTAGGTTACTTTCTAAATGTAATCCATTACAGTTACTAGTTA